CAGCCAACTTTTAAAGTCTTGGAGTGAGATTTTATTTATTTCAAATTGTGTGTGTGTGTGTGTGTGTGTTTTGCAAAATTACACACTTATCTGGCAGAGACAAAAACAAGGTGATATTAAGGCACATGTTAATGTTTCATTTTATTTGAGTAGTTTAAAGATTCATTTTGGGATCCAGATGCATTACAATGTGTTTCCTGTTTAAAACAAAATAGACGTTTAAAAAAATCTGTTAAACTCTGAGAATTTTTATTAGATGAAGTTGGGTATTTATTGGTCTTTGAACTAAAAGCTAATATGAAAGCTTTTAATTTAGTTGATCTACATTCCACTTCCTACCCTCATATGGTCATGAGCTTTGTGACCAAAAGAATTAGATTGCAGATACAAGCGGCCAAATAGATCTTTCTCCACAGGGTGTCTGAGTTGTTAGAGATGGGCTGAGAAGCTTGGCTATCCAGAAGCTCAGAGAAGATCCGCTGCTCCTCCACATCGAGAAGAGCCAGTTGAGGTGACTTGGGCATCCGGTTATCTCATGGACGCCTCACTGGTGAGCTTTTCCGGGCACATCCAGCCAGGAGACCTAAAGGAAGACCCAGGACGTGTTGGAGGGACAATGTCTCTCTGCTGGCCATGGAACACCTTGGGATTCCCTCAGAAGATCTGGCTCAAGTGGCTGGTGAGAGGCTGCTCAGGCTACTGTCCTGCGACCCAACTCCGGATAAGTGGACGAAAATGGAAGGATGCACTGATAGGGAGCCTAAGTCACGCCCATATACTTCCACACCATGGGGGGGGGAAAGAATGCTAGTCAGTAGGGTTGTAAAACTGTTTTCTAATCCAGTTTATGTGCCATGGATCACATATGATGCTGATGAACTTTTAAGACATCCTGATGCCAAGAAGGCTCTTATTTTCAAACGGTGAGAGCTGAGGATACACTCGTCTCTGCTTTTCCCGTTTTAACCTCAGATAAATAGGTTCAGCTTTTTTTATCTAACAAAACTTTTGCAGGAAAAATACAACGAAAGTGAGTCTCAAGTCAAAAGTTCTTGCATCAACATAAAAACTCACTGAGCCGATATGAACCAGTCGTGCTGGCTTGTTTATTTGTACAAACAGGAACATGATCAAAGTGATGCTCGTTTCATAGTTTTCTCAACTCAGAGTCTGCAAAAACAATGGCTGTTCACATGATGGTCTGAGGCCAGACATAAAAGGCAGTGACCATCATGTTTCCACACAGCGTTTACGTTTGCATCTCCTTCTCTCGCTACTGAAGGAAACCTTTTGGAATGTAAGACATTTCTTCCAGATCTCTTCGTGTTTAGTGTTTACATCGTTTTCTGAGACCCAACACACTGAAACCAGCACAACGAAGGAGCTGAATGGCACTCTCACTTACAAAAGGCAGTCGTGTTGCACCTGACATCACCACGCAACAAGTCAGCGGGATAGAAGTGCAGCAGCTGTTTGAGGTTTAAAGTAAAAGTTTCATCCAGTAAACTGAAATTATAGGACACACCCTCAATGAAATGTCAAAAAAAGGGGGAAGATTTAGTCAAAGTTGCACATTATTTACCAGTCAGTAAACAAATGACCCTAAATACAGCAGTCTGAACCAAAACTGTGTGGGAACAAGCTGTGTAGAACGTTGCAACAAACAAATAAACTGTCTCAGGAGACAAACGTTTGTTCATCTCAGTTTGCTTCTGGGTTATTCCTGCTAATGTTAGTGAAATACCGTTAAGCCGTTGTTTCTGTGCGGTGACTGCCGCCTGACTGGTGGAGAGCACCTGTTAGCTGAGGCGATGTACCTGATGCACTGGAAGCAGTGGGAGGAACTAAACCCACAGCCGTCACCTTTGCAGGGTGCGTCTGGAGCCCAGTGACTGCTTCCCTTTTCTTGGAGCATGTGGCTTTGACAACCCAGCCTGCTGCCTGCCCTGACCTTTGGTCTCCGGCTCTGAATCACTCAGCTCCAGATCAGGACAGTATCCATCACTATCCTGGTAAGATCGTCTGCTTTTTACTTTATGTTCTAATACCGGTTTGGCCCACAGCCTCTCCTTAGGCACGCTCTTTTGGGACAGTTTGTCAGAGACGCGCAGATCCTCTGTTGTCCGTACCAAGTTAATGGTTGCCTCTTTGAAGGACCTGCCAAAATGTTCCATGGCAGACTTACGAAAGTTGTTTTTATTTAAATCTTCTTTAGATGTGTCCCGGTCTTTGGGTGTCTGGCAGGAACTGTCATTCTGCACCCCCTTCTCTAAGACACCATTGGACTTGGGCAAATATGTTCGGTCTTGGCTCAGCTTGCCGTTACTGTTGGAGGAGTGGCCGTGGAGAGCTGCTTGTAAAGCCAAATGTTTGCCGGTTGGTTTGCCGCCCAACGGCATGGTGCTGGAGGAGGACAGTCTGCCATTGGAGCGTTCCTCTTTGCCACCTAAGGTGCGCAGCTGAGGCTTGCCTAGGCCCAGTCCTTCAGCATATTCAGTGACATTCCCACTATTGTCTGGGCAGAGCGGCCCAGATTTGGAACTCGAGTTTCCATTTCCAAGAGTTGAAGCTTTGGGCATCTTCAGTTTAAGTGTGATCCTTGGAGGAGGGCGAAACAGCAAATTTTCCACTGCGAAGGGAGCAGGAAGACCTTTAGGAAGAGAGAAACAAGACTTTTTAGGATAGGAGCCCTGACAAATGGCCAAACACAAACCCATAATAAAGCCCTAACATGAAGACTAGTTTGCCCCGCCCACTTGGTCAGGACATGCAGTGTTTCCCCTAGGAATAACAACCCATAGAACCACTGATTTGATCTCATTTCAGAGAAAAAAAGAACAGGTCAGATGCACCTAATAAATAAAATTACTAACAAACTCAGGAATCTTTCTTTGCTTCACTGTTCTGGTGCTGAAAATATCACTAATGCGGATCGAAGGAGATACACAGATGAATGCACCTCTTATTTATTATTTGGAAGCTACATTTACTGCAGCTGGATGAACCCCGCTGGTTTTCCATCAGGCAGTCACGGGGCAGCTCCAACGACCCAGTGGCTGTGCTGGGTCAGTTATCGAGCTCAGTCCGGCTCGGCAGAGGGTGAACGAGCCGAGGCGACGTCGTGCTCTGCTTAAGAAGAGGTGTTATTTTCCCGCTTCAGAAGAAGCGTCCAACGTGTTTTTACGCTTTCTCCGAGACATGTCACGTCGCTAAGTTGTTAGCGCCGCGCGCTAACACGTCAATAGTGCAGCGTAGCCTGCTGGAGGTTTTAAGGGTTCAGATGAAAACACCCGACCTCTCAGGCTGCTCACACATCGATCTTAAGTTGTCGTTGTTGCGCTCACGCCGTAATACAGTATTAGATGCGGTTAAAGTCAGACATAAAAAAAAGAAACTTGGGATCTTGTAGGTGCGGCGGTGGGATTTCAGCCGTGGCGGCCCGCCACGGCTACGCCTATGTAAGGGAAACCCTGGGATAGAGCTGGGCGATATGACGATTTTAGACCGTTTTACGATCTACACATCTGACGGTCTGTCGTTTTTGAGAGACCTTTTTATCACGATTCACAGCTCTGCTGTTGAATTTCTGCCTCCGAATGAAAAGGGAACTTACCTCAGGCAAATGACACACCTTTGTTTGACCCTTAACCAATCAGAGTGAGTCATAGTAATATATTAGTGCCCCGCTTGTTTTCACCTGTGTGTGAACAAACATGGCTTCGGCCGCGGCTGAGAGCGACAACGAGGTTTTCGTTCCGAAGAGGAACGCCTTTTCTATAGTACCGACTGAGCATCGATTCACGTCATTTCAAACGGTGCCTCGTTTCGGTACCCGTCCTTCATAACGAGAACTTGCCAAGAAAGCTGCGCATACGCAAGAGCGTTATGTCGTCGGTCCCTGCGAGCGAGTTGTAAACAGAGCAGCATGGTAGAAAGAAGAACGCACGCTAACGCTTGGGTCCACCTCACTAAATGTGATGGGTATCCATCCCTGTCCGTTATATGGAACTGGGTTGGTTTTTCACCAGATGACAAAGAGCAGCGAAACGTCATTTACAAGGAGAGCGTCAAGGCAAGTGATGGCAACACCACAAACTTGTTTAATCACTTGAAAAGAAGGCATCCCAAACAATACAATGAGAGCCAGCTGGCAGCTAAAGCTAAAAAGCCTGCGGCTGCAGCGGCTAGCGCTTCTTCCAGGCAGCAAACGCTAACAGAAACACACAAAACTCACTCCCTACGACAGAGACAGCAGACGATGGAACAGCGTGACAGATGCAGGGACGTACCACTTGGTTAAAGAGGGTTAGGGTTTGTGTCCCGTGTGAACAGTAGGAGCGGGATTTAAGAACATGATAAAAACATTGGATCCGCGCTATGAGTTTTCCAGCCGCAAGTATTTTTCGAGCACCGCCATTCCACGCGTGTACGCTGAATGCAAAGTGAGCGTTGCAGAAAATATTCAGAATGTGCAGTTATTTGCTACCACAAGCGATCTCTGGCCCAGCCGCACATCAGAGCCGTATTTGAGCTTAACTATCCACTACATGAGCAAATGGGAGCTACATAGTATTTTGAACAAGTTAATGTTTGCACAATACGTTTGCAATTGACATGATTGCTCTTTAAATATGTTTACGATTTTAATTTATGTTAAGTTACTTGAAAAACGAGAAAAACTGATGTTTGTAATTGTTTCTCTCAGGGCTTTTATCATCTCTGGTGTGAGTTTAAAACATAAGTGTGTTAGCACTGTGCTGATTATCCCTAATATGAATAAATGTTTATTTATTCAATGTTTCTCTTCTTTAATACGCAATTGAAGTTATGCTATTCATGGATAAAAAAAATCGTGATAAAATCGAAATTGTGATAAAATATTGGAAAAATCGTGATATTCTATTTTTGCCATATCGCCCAGCCCTACCCTGGGACAAGAATATTAAATGAGCTGCATGCTGATTGGCCAGTTTATCCCAGTGGCTCCATGACGTTGCCTGAAGCAATAAACTTTGTTTACAGTATCTTGATAACTCCATAAACAAGCTACAGATCTATCAGCATCCAGGAATGTTACGTGTGTGCTCCCACATTCTTTTTTGCCGTTTTCCTCTCATTCAACAAGGACATTAGTTGTAGCTTAGGCTAGCATTAGCAGTAGCTGAGGCTAGCAATTTTCTGCAGTTAGCATAAGCACAACCAACATTTATATGATGTTGACTAGAGATCGACCGACATGAACGTTTTCTGCCATATCTGTGTGTTAAATGTCCCTAATAACAACTGTAGATGCACCTGAACCTGAACCAGCTATTGAACTCTGAATTTAACCAAGTGTTGAATCCGAGTCGTTGGGTGCGCCGAGCAGCTCCTTCAGTCAGAGACTGATACATCACCTCTGCAGGAAGGAGCGCTTTCGCAGATCATTCCAACAGCAGTTAGGCTTCATAACACAATGTCATGAGTCACTCTCTTTAACTAACATTAATTAACCAACATTAGGGCTGCACAATATATCGAAAAATTATCGTCATCGTGATAACAGGACGTGCGATAGGCCCATCGCAAAGCACGTCAAAAACGGCGATAAATGTTTGGTTCAAACATTTCCATCCGTGTCATACATCAGCTTTTTGTAAACCAGCTCTGTTTTTTAGGCGGAAGTATTATTTGACCAATCAAATGTAGCCCTTATGATATGCGGCCAATCAGATGGGTCCGTTCACGTAATACACCCGCCCCCTACGTAGACCCTTTTGGAATGCAACAGCCGAACATTAGCGGCGTCGTTCCCTTGGTCGTCATGCTGGCTCAGATTAACGAACGCACTTTGTGCTGAGGTTTCTGGAATCAGCGCTGCTTTCAAACGTGAGCGTGAGTCCGCTCGGTGTCGTTAAGCAGCTGATAATAACCGGGCTGACTCCGACACGTGCCGGTGAACCAACCCACCTCCAATGTTGCTAGTGTTCCACCGGGTGGTGATGTTAGCCCCAGGCTCCGGTTAGCTTCCAGCTAAAAGGCTACAGCACTCTCCTCCCAGTCCCACCCTGCTAAAGAGGGCCTGGAAAAGTTCCCCCACACATCAAAGTGATTTTTCATTTATGAGCTTTTATAACCTTGTTAATCAGGACAGTTGATTTGCTGCTGCACATAAACTGTCAGCCAGAAGCTCTGCTAGCCGGTTATCTTAGAGGAGCTAGTTCAGTTTGTTAGCTTGTTATCAGAATCATAGTTGCAGTTTCATCATCTGAGCTGCTTTTTAAGATCTAGGTAAACTTGTTCAATTTGGGGTTAAAAACAAACGTTTTCACATATTTTCCATGTAGTTTTTTTTTGCCAGTTCCTCTTCTGAAAGGTAGACAATTGTTTTTCTCTTTCCCTCAGAAAATCTTAATATTCTCCTAGTTTGGCCCAGCACAGTTCACTTCCCAATTACAGCAACAGCCTTATATCATAACCACATAAGTGGAGAAAATGCTCAGTAGCAATGAGAGAATTTGCTGTTGCATTTAAGTGATGTTAACTATTATTTAACATTTAAACTTATTTTCAGATTTTTTTTATTTATTCAAAAACCCTGGTAAGGGATGTTTTTCTGTATTTGGAGCATCAGAAAAAGTTTTATGGTGGAGGTGATGTTTTAAAGTCACTGAGAAACTGCATGCATGCAGTTTGTTGTTTTGCTGCTAATACAGTAGCAGGTGCGGCTGCTAATACAGTAGCAGGTGCAGCTGCTAATACAGTAGCAGGTGCGGCTGCTAATACAGTAGCAGGTGCGGCCGCTAATACAGTAGCAGGTGCGGCTGCTAATACAGTAGCAGGTGCAGCTGCTAATACAGTAGCAGGTGTTGCTGCTAATACAGCAGCGGGTGCGGCTGCTAATACAGTAGCAGGTGCGGCTGCTAATACAGTAGCAGGTGCAGCTGCTAATACAGTAGCAGGTGCGGCCGCTAATACAGTAGCAGGTGCGGCCGCTAATACAGTAGCAGGTGCGGCCGCTAATACAGTAGCAGGTGCGGCTGCTAATACAGTAGCAGGTGTTGCTGCTAATACAGTAGCAGGTGCAGCTGCTAATACAGTAGCAGGTGCAGCCGCTAATACAGTAGCAGGTGCAGCCGCTAATACAGTAGCAGGTGCGGCCGCTAATACAGTAGCAGGTGCGGCCGCTAATACAGTAGCAGGTGCGGCTGCTAATACAGTAGCAGGTGCGGCTGCTAATACAGTAGCAGGTGCAGCCGCTAATACAGTAGCAGGTGCGGCCGCTAATACAGTAGCAGGTGCGGCCGCTAATACAGTAGCAGGTGCGGCTGCTAATACAGTAGCAGGTGCAGCTGCTAATACAGTAGCAGGTGTTGCTGCTAATACAGTAGCAGGTGCAGCTGCTAATACAGTAGCAGGTGTTGCTGCTAATACAGTAGCAGGTGTTGCTGCTAATACAGTAGCAGGTGCAGCTGCTAATACAGTAGCAGGTGTTGCTGCTAATACAGTAGCGGGTGCAGCTGCTAATACAGTAGCAGGTGTTGCTGCTAATACAGCAGCGGGTGCAGCTGCTAATACAGTAGCAGGTGCAGCTGCTAATACAGTAGCAGGTGTTGCTGCTAATACAGCAGCAGGTGCAGCTGCTAATACAGTAGCAGGTGCAGCCGCTAATACAGTAGCAGGTGCGGCTGCTAATACAGTAGCAGGTGCAGCCGCTAATACAGTAGCAGGTGTAGCTGCTAATACAGTAGCAGGAGCAGCTGCTAATACAGCAGCAGGTGCAGCTGCTAATACAGTAGCAGGTGCGGCTGCTAATACAGTAGCAGGTGCGGCTGCTAATACAGTAGCAGGTGCGGCTGCTAATACAGTAGCAGGTGTAGCTGCTAATACAGTAGCAGGAGCAGCTGTTAATACAGTAGCAGGTGTTGCTGCTAATACAGTAGCAGGTGCAGCTGCTAATACAGTAGCAGGTGCGGCTGCTAATACAGTAGCAGGTGCAGCTGCTAATGCAGCAGCGGGTGCAGCCGCTAATACAGTAGCAGGTGCGGCTGCTAATACAGTAGCAGGTGTTGCCGCTAATACAGCAGCAGGTGCAGCTGCTAATACAGTAGCAGGTGCGGCTGCTAATACAGTAGCAGGTGCGGCTGCTAATACAGTAGCAGGTGTTGCCGCTAATACAGCAGCAGGTGCAGCTGCTAATACAGTAGCAGGTGCGGCTGCTAATACAGTAGCAGGTGCGGCTGCTAATACAGTAGCAGGTGCGGCTGCTAATACAGTAGCAGGTGTTGCTGCTAATACAGCAGCGGGTGCAGCCGCTAATACAGTAGCAGGTGTTGCTGCTAATACAGCAGCGGGTGCAGCCGCTAATACAGTAGCAGGTGCGGCTGCTAATACAGTAGCAGGTGTTGCCGCTAATACAGCAGCAGGTGCAGCTGCTAATACAGTAGCAGGTGCGGCTGCTAATACAGTAGCAGGTGCGGCTGCTAATACAGTAGCAGGTGTTGCCGCTAATACAGCAGCAGGTGCAGCTGCTAATACAGTAGCAGGTGCGGCTGCTAATACAGTAGCAGGTGCGGCTGCTAATACAGTAGCAGGTGTTGCCGCTAATACAGCAGCAGGTGCAGCTGCTAATACAGTAGCAGGTGCGGCTGCTAATACAGTAGCAGGTGCGGCTGCTAATACAGTAGCAGGTGCGGCTGCTAATACAGTAGCAGGTGTTGCTGCTAATACAGTAGCAGGTGCAGCTGCTAATACAGTAGCAGGTGCGGCTGCTAATACAGTAGCAGGTGCAGCTGCTAATGCAGCAGCGGGTGCAGCCGCTAATACAGTAGCAGGTGCGGCTGCTAATACAGTAGCAGGTGTTGCCGCTAATACAGCAGCGGGTGCAGCTGCTAATACAGTAGCAGGTGTTGCCGCTAATACAGCAGCGGGTGCAGCTGCTAATACAGTAGCAGGTGTTGCCGCTAATACAGCAGCGGGTGCAGCTGCTAATGCAGTAGCAGGTGCAGCTGCTAATACAGTAGCAGGTGCGGCTGCTAATACAGTAGCAGGTGCGGCTGCTAATACAGTAGCAGGTGCGGCTGCTAATACAGTAGCAGGTGCGGCTGCTAATACAGTAGCAGGTGCGGCTGCTAATACAGTAGCATGTGCAGCTGCTAATACAGTAGCAGGTGCGGCTGCTAATACAGTTGCAGGTGCGGCTGCTAATACAGTAGCAGGTGTACCTGCTAATACAGTAGCAGGTGTTGCTGCTAATACAGTAGCAGGTGCAGCTGCTAATACAGTAGCAGGTGCGGCTGCTAATACAGTAGCAGGTGCGGCTGCTAATACAGTAGCAGGTGCGGCTGCTAATACAGTAGCAGGTGCGGCTGCTAATACAGTAGCAGGTGCGGCTGCTAATACAGTAGCAGGTGCGGCTGCTAATACAGTAGCAGGTGCGGCTGCTAATACAGTAGCAGGTGCGGCTGCTAATACAGTAGCATGTGCAGCTGCTAATACAGTAGCAGGTGTTGCTGCTAATACAGCAGCGGGTGCGGCTGCTAATACAGTAGCAGGTGCGGCTGCTAATACAGTAGCAGGTGTTGCTGCTAATACAGTAGCAGGTGCGGCTGCTAATACAGTAGCAGGTGCAGCTGCTAATACAGTAGCAGGTGCAGCTGCTAATACAGTAGCAGGTGTAGCTGCTAATACAGTAGCAGGTGCGGCTGCTAATACAGTAGCAGGTGTAGCTGCATGTTTTTGCAATAAAAATGTTATGTTGTAATGAAATTCATGCATTAGTTGTTGTTTGCTTTGAGCCCAGAGCAGACGTCACACGCCAGACGACATCAACACTGCATACTTTAGTATTTGTTCATTTATCGTGAGTAATATCGATATCGCAATATTAAGCACCGTTATCGAATATCGTAGGTTTTCCTAATATCGTGCAGCCCTAGTTTTCAAGCACTTATTAATCAGGTGTTTTTCAAGAACATAAATTTTCATTTAAATACAAGTTGCCAGCAGCACTGCAGTGCCCACATGTGTGCCTAACTTTTAATCAGCTCTACTAAAGACGTATATTGGCAGGTGCTGATATATATAAAAATATATCAGCTGACGGTGAGGTGGGTTGGGACATGCAAATACAAAGAGACGGTCTTGTTTATGGCGTGTTAAACTAGCTTTTCTCAGAATAACCATTTCTTAGCGGCCAACACAACATTAGTAATCTACATATGAAAGCAGGCCAGAGACAGCAGAAGCTTTTCCATGTGCTAAATGAGACACCCCAATGACGTTTTGAATCCTTGATTCTCCTTTAAGATCCAGTGGCTAGACTGAAAGTTACTTGTACTTTAACATTTTACACGTGCGCTCACCAGCAGACAATTCTTGGTTCAGGAGCTTCACGTGCAGGTTGAACATCTGCTCCTGAGATTTACTCTGCAACAGCTTCAGCTTTTCCCGCCGACTCACCATGTAACACAAATTCCTCACCTGCAAAAGAGAAATGAATATACTGTAACCCATTATTGTAAAGTGTTACATTTAATTTTGCGTCAAACACAAATCCAACTGAATCTTATTTCGATGGCTGCATTCGACCTCCTGTTTTCTTGCTTGGAAACGTGTAACACAAGATTATTTCTAGAGCACCTTTTGTAATCCCCTTAATGTTGTTCTAGCTCATCATTTTGTAATTGCAGTTTTCTCTCTCTTGTTTTGTTTTAGTTTGCTGTAAAGCCCCCTAATGAACAAAGACTGCTTTATAAATGATCAAGAAAGTCTTATTGTGTATCTGATAAATGAACATGTTTAACGAGTCCTGTGCCTCTCAGAAACCCTCTTTTGGTCTTGAGGCTGACACAGAGAGTCAGCAGTAAGGCTCTCATCACTGCAGTGGAAAAAAGAAAACACCCACCCGTTCCAAATCCTGACGCAGGTGCATGAACATCCGCATGCGTGTGTGGATGCTGTCCTCCTGAGGCTGCAGCACCATGTTCTCCTCCTCCTCTTTAGGGGGCAGCAGTGCTTTATTAAAGCTGGATTTCCTCTTCAGCTTCCAGTACTGATAAATAAAGTCCACCAGGCGCTCTGAGAGACCAAGCTCCTTCCCAATCGCCTCCATTCGGATCAGAGTGTAAAACTCTTCCTCCAGCTCCTGCAGTCTCTGGGCTCTCAGACCCACCTTAGCCGCCTCTCCGGGGGGTTTACAACGAGCCGGACTCAGGCCAGCCTCCCCAGACTTGGACTTGCTGTGTTTGAGGCAGAAAGACTTGAACTTGACTTCATCCCCTTCGTCCAGGATGGTCTTCATCTCCAGGCTGTGCTCAAAGGCACACGTCACGTGGAAGGGAATAGTGCAGTTCTTCACTGAACACTGTGGGCAGAGTTGACACACACACACACATTGTTGGTGGCAGGAAAGTGATCTGTCTCTGTGAAGCTGAATGAGAGAACACCCAGAACTCTGGTCTGTCTAAATTAACTCATTTGGGCCTTTTAAAGCGACACAACACAGTTTTTTACACTTTAACCAATTCTTTAAAAAGTGGAGTTGAGCGGTAGCATCTTTACCAACTTCACATGCTTCAACACTCCGCAGCCCTCTGCTCACCAAAAACAGCACTTCATCGTTTGATGGAGCGGGAAGTTGCCCCAGGGGGCGCCCTTTACCTGCTTAACAGCTGTTAGCTATTTTCTGTGTGGTTAGCTAATAAAAAGCTAGCAGTTAGCTTTTTCAGTTTGCCGACTGTCAATAAAAACACAAGAAGTAGAAAAAGTTTGCTTTTTTGTTAGCCTCATGGCAGAACCTGGAAGTAAAAGTAAGGGAATGGTGTTTGGAGGTAAAGCAAAGAGCTAAAGCCAGAGTGAATATCGGTGTGTCCTTCACTAGTTTGAGGAAGCTGAAGGAGGCTATGAAATTACAGACTGATGGTGACCTGGCTTTGTTGCTACTGGACTTGTGGGTAATATTTTTTGTCCAACAGTATGGATCTTTTTAATTCTTAGGTTATTTAGTAAGCCTTTGGTCGCTGTTAGCGCATCGTTTTCATGGAAAAGTCTTTAAAATATAAATATATGAAAACACAAAACTTTAAGGCGTTGTTCTGTTTAGAATGAGTTTTATTTGGACATGTCTGAGCGCAGCCTCTTCTGAGCTGTCATTCAGGCTGGTGACCTTGACAACGCGTGTATGACAGGGCAGCAGAGATTCTGCGGTGGTTCTTGTTGTTGTAACATAGATAATGGACTGGTATCGGATTCAGACGGTTTGTCTGTCACTCCACAAACGGTCCCAAATCACAGCATAGCTTCAGAAGGAGCTCCTTCCAGAGCACTCACAGAAACACATTTACTGTAGAGAGCACACACTGACAAATCCTTAATAATATTAATAAGAAACAATCTTTAATCTAGCACATCTCAAGCAAAATCCCGAGGCGCTTCACAAGAACTAAAATAAAATATATTAATTAAAAACGATTAAAAACATCGTAAAAATGGGAAGAGTAAAAGTTGTGGTTGTAAAAACACAAAATCCACTCTACAATGTCAGACTCAACAATTATGTGACAGCTGTTTTCCATCGAAATAATAATTTAATGGTAAAATATTTTGTGGATGATTGAGACCTTCAGTGTTGCGGTTCCCTCGTTCTACCTAGATGCTATGTGTGTGCACGGTCCGAGGATTTCTTATGATTAGGAACATTTCTATGCACGAGTACAAAATGATGAATACCACACCGTGCGTAAGTTTGTTCCTACGCAGATTTGTGTTTAAGTACGATTGATGAATGAGGCTCCAGGTCCTTTTAACTGGGAACACTGAAGTCCAGCAACTCCTGATAACTTTTGAAAAATGTATTTTCTCAGTGGTTCTCAATCCTGGTCCTGGAGGCCCGGCATGCACTTTCATTTTCATTCATGTAACCTTAAAAGTGCTTTACCACCACTAATCAGGGTGTTTCTAAGTACTAGACACAGTCCAAAAACGACCAAATAATAAAAGAACGATAAACCGAGCTGTGGTACAGTGGCACGTCAACTAGTCCACGAAATATAGTAAAAAGTAGACTAGGTGAGTGCCCACAGGTCTACCAAAACAAAAGCATCCAACGCAGGTTAGTTTGTCCTACGACGGCAAGTTACCGTGGCTTTAGCGTTCCCTACTATAGTTGAGCTTTCAACCTCAAACGGAAGTTGGTTTCACAATTTCACTGCTAAAATCACAAATGGGGACAACCAGCATGTGCTTATCGGAGGAGTGCAGGGCACGTACTTTATTAACAGTTCAGTCATTTGGGATGGTGCAGTCCCTGCCAAAGCCTCAAATACTAAGACCAGTACCTTCATAGCTATAGAGTGCTTCACTGACATCCACTGCAAATCATCTAATATGGGGGATGTGTGCTCCCACCAGCTGGAATGTGTAAGTCAGCCCGAGACCACCCCGCACAGACTGAACTACAAGAATCCAGTTGTGATGGAACAAACTCAGGTTTTATTTTTAACCCTGCTTCAACACACCTGATTTCAATCAGCAGGTGATTAACAGGCTTCTGCAGAGCCTGAAGAAACACTTAGGCCGAGTGCACACGTAGCCGGGTTTTTTTTAAAACGAATATCCGCCCCTACAAAAACTTGCATCACACCAACGCGTTTTAAAAACAAACTCTGTCCACACGTACCCGGAGAAATACGTTGTTAAGGACATGCCAGACCTGTAGGTGGCAGTACTTCCCCCGTTCTTAACCTCGTCCTTCGTCTGTGGTCTTCCGCAAGCAGCAGTAATTCTGCTTGCAAAAACAAACGAGCAGAAAGCGCTTGGACAATTGATAAAGCGAGCGCAGCTCTGAGGGCTTCCATGCTGTCGGCTAGTGTAAACACAGGTCGCACACGTGATGTCAGCATTTTTCTGTCGCGGAAAGTGACGTTGCGGACCTTAAAACTCCGGTTTTGTCTGTCCACACGCAGACACCCAAAACGGAGAAAACGCAGATCTTCACTTTGGCCGGAGTTTTTAAAAAGATCCGTTTTCGTGTGAAAAAACTCCGTTTTCGTGTGGATGACAGGCCAAAACGTAGAAACATATCTACGTTGTGGCAGATCCCCGGCTACGTGTGGACAGGGCCTAAATCAGGAATGTTGGAGCAGAGAAACAAACAAAACACGCTGGATAGTGACCCTCCAGGCCCTCAAACATACAAGGGGAAATAATATTCTTTCCTGTTTCTAATCTCTTCCCACTGAGGCTTTATGCTTGTACCCAAGACTTGTGGCCTTAATATAATACTGAGACAGCGTATGGTACCGTGTCTGTTGCTGCACTGTTTGGATAATTCGACACATTCTGCACTTAACAGCTTTCCATCCCTAATATACTGCAAGTACTTGGCTCCAAGGTAGAGATCAATTAAGTGTTGAAGGAACACCGTATCAATCAGATTAAAACAGTATTCCTTTATCGACTACTGACACGTTTCTGATTTAATCAGAAACGTGTCAGTAGTCGGATGTTGGGCAGAGACGGGGTGGGGAGTTATTGATGTTACATGTTGCTCCAATGAAATAGGATAATTTATGGATAAGGGGTCGGATTTGGCAAGTAGAAGCGCTCGTCGTTCCACGGCGCTTCACAGCACATCGTCGCGCTTCCGCGTCTGGTGTGTTCTGGGCTTAAGGTTGCAGGTCCTGCGTTCTACCACTAGATGCTGCTCTTACACATGGTCAGAGCTGCTCTTATATTCAGGAACATTTCTTTGCACAAGTGCAAAATGGTAAATACCACAATGGGTAAAATTGATCCTATGCGTGAAATATACACGTGTGTATATACTGCATTTAATTTTGCGTAATGTGACTCAACAACAAAGGTATTAGTTAATATGTGGTGTCAGCATGTTGTCTAACAGTTTCCTAATGTGATTTCTGAACAGTCTGCTGCCACGTCGATTCAAAGAAACACTCATGTTTTGTTTTATATCAGTGATTCAAGTCACTGATGAATTATTTCAGCTCTAAGCATGATTACTGATAGAGATTCACTCTCGTGTAATTAGGAAATGTGTTGGAAAACAAAGACATCAAGGTCATGACAAAGTCCAGAAGACCAACAGACTCCTGTGAAAAACAGCTTGGAGGTGCTGGAAAGACACGATAAGGCCAGGAAACTAATATACAGCAGAGATGGGGGTAGCCACAGATTACCACATTAATTCTCTTCCTAATTCACAAAGTTCCTGAGAAGTGTGACTTTCTATCTGATATCAACAGTTTGATTTGGTAATCTCACTTTAAAATCTAAAGGGGATTATGATTATGTGTAACTGAGAATTATCCAGAAGTTTGTTTTTTAGAAAAAACACAGAAAGGAATTAAAGACACGAATACCAAGGTGTGCATCATAATCCAAGGACACTAGTGAATAAAATAACCTGGAGCCAGACTACAGTAAGTAACAGATAGCAGGAAGGTGACTGTTAACATTAGTGTGCTTATCCTTGGATTCCACGCCCACCTGAATACACGCGCCGGTCTTGAGTTTACACAGACTGCAGATGAGAGACCAGCGGCTGGGTGGGATGTGGGAGACTTTAGTAATGGGCTCCATTCGCTCGGGACACGCGATGCTCACCTACACAACAGAAACAGAAGAGCAGGATGAGTGTTATAAAGTCCTCCTGATGTAGGGAGTTGAGGAGCAACGGGGGGTGGTAAAGACCTCTGGTATCCACAGTGCACAGCTCACATGAGCCCACTTGGTACCAGCACGTGTGGCCTTCATGGCACCACCCTTCTTGGGACACAGAAGGCACTGAGGGTCGATGCTGAGGACACACGTCCTACAAAGCCAGTTTCCAACAGGCACCTTCACGATTCCGTAACAAGCCTGGAGAAAAATAAATAAATAAGAGTGGAACTGATTATTGATTTCATATTAACACAAAACATGCTGAAATGATGGAAACGTAAGCCAAAGTTTATTCTGAAAGCTGAGAAATGCAGACAGGTGGAGCCTACCTGGTGTACGCAGATGTTGCACTTGTCACAGAACACCATGTCGTTCCCTTCCTCACTGTCCGGAGAGCGGCACACATCGCAGATGACATCCTCGTCGTACTCAATGCCCAGGCCTTCCACTGTTTCAATGGCGTGCTTCATGTTGTCATGGCAATGCCTCTCCAGAGCCTCCATGGCTCGCTCCATCGTCAGCTCATCTAAGGGTGCTTCCCCTGGAGGACGGAGGACAACCACTTTGAGAAAAAGAAAACTTTATAATTAAACATATTAAGAAATGGAAGGTGCCGAGTAAGCAACAGAAAATGAGCCAGAGAGACAGACAACCAGTGATTAATAATATTGGCTGTAGCAGCGCTACGAAACACACAAACAAAAACAAAAAACTACCACGTGTGTAGCTCTGTCTGCCCAAAACGTTACCCCGGCTCTCCCTGGCCCCATCCCTACTCACTACTGCCACCGTAACACTTTTAAAACCAGAGGAAATCCCCGGATGTCTAAAACACATCCTGGGTCAGTCAGGAACACTAGTAAAATATATATATATGCTGCTTAAAGCAGCTTTTTAATTTAATTTTTTTTTTGTTTTTGCGGTTTTAAGTGATCGACAAAGCAGCCTGCTTTGTCGATCACTTAAAACCGCAATTTCCATCGGAGAATGATAGATTGTTCAGCCCTACTGCGGAGCCAAGGGCCTCTGCTCTACACCATGCACCTCGTACCCATGCGGTGAAGCTCAAGATTGAGTGCTTGCAGCCAGTACAGGTCCATGTCATCCAGATCGTAGCGACACATGGCCTCTGCCAGCTCTTTGATGTTAACATATCCGGGTTCTGTTGATTCCAGGCTCGAACACTGGATGTACTTCCTCTGGTGGGTGTAAAGCACTTCTTTGGACTTTTCTGCTATAACCCTAACAAAAAAGACACAAAACCAATCTTTTGGAATCAACAGTGTATTTTTAGGCTGTAAAGAAGATGTTTTACATCAGTCTATCCATGGCAAGGTCTCTGGCTATGAGACGGGCATACCTGACTGATGGATCTGGGATGGTTTCTGGGCTCGCTGGCACCTGGACACCCTTCTCCCACTCCTGCTTCCAGGTGTCTGCAAGAAGGTAGAAGTCCTCTGGGGAGACATGGTGGGAATCGGGTATCTTCATAGCACTTATCAGGTCTTTTCTGAACACCTGTGGAAGTGAGCCAAAACCAGAAACACAGACTGTTAACCCTTTGGTCCTGACTTTATTAACACACAGTAAACTAAAACAAAAACCAATCTTACTTCAGCCGGCTTCTTTGGGTTCGAGGCGGGGGTTCCAGGTTTGCTGCAATACTTGTTAAATGAGCAGAAGGAGGTAGAAGGACCTGACAGAAAACAAACTGTAAGTGAAAAGAAGCTGTCAGATGTAGTTTCAGTCCCTGCAGCGACTCACTCTCATTGTCTGAGCTGTCACTGCTGCTGGACGACCTGAGACGTTTCATCCTGATAAGTCCTAAAGAAAATGGAATTATTACAGGAGGCCTTTTCATTCCAACGGTAACCATCACAAAACGTTACTCACCATAAACCTCATTCTAATGAATTCTGACGAATAATAAACCACCTTGTTGTAACTCTGCAAAAGAAAAATACAAGTGAGTCAGTTAAATAGCTTTAATACAAAACAAGGATCTATTCTGTCATCATACTTTGCATCAGGATGAAGATTTATTGCCTCTTCATGACATTTACTAAAATATAAAGAGAAAAAAACACTCCCCGAATTACTCTCAATTATCTAACATAATTTGGGCAACAGCCGTAATTCAGATGAATGGAAGTGAAAAAGAGACAACACCACGAGCCAGCGGTGTTTACCTTCAGCCCACAGGACCACGGGTAAACTCATTATGGTTTCAAAATGCTGAGGGACTCAGACCCAGAGTAGCCCCACATACAGTGAGCTGCTTTAACAGACAGGACATGCCTCACATTCCCCATGAGGGCAGGAGGGGCAGCAGCAGGAGGAGGAGGAGGCACACGGCCAGGTCCTGTATCTGCCAGAGTAAAGTAAAACATAGAATCCAGAGAAGAACGCCTAATCGACTGATTCCCACCAACGTAATGGCTGTTTATGCTCCACCTCTGCAACAAAATGGCCCAGGAGATCTAAAACACCAAAACCGCTGCTGGTCGACACATATGGGATTCAATTCAATTCAATTCAAATTCAAAAATACTTTATTAATCCCAGAGGGAAATTGATTACTGATTGTAAACATTCAGTGTTTAGTCATAGAATAAAATGATCTCATGAGCGAACTTCCAATGAGTAAGGCTGTGAATGGGCTTTCAATGAGAATTATTTAAATATTAGGCAACTAAATGTAATTTTTTATTATTATTATTTTTTTTTAGTACACTAAAGCTTAAAGACAAAGCAACGAGGAGATGCACCAATCCTGGTTGGTGAAAGCTGACGCAAATGACTAATTCTTGCCCTACGGATTTTTACTGATGGTGAATTAACAGAGAAAGATTTTTTTTTAATCACTGCTTAGCAAAGTGACATTCACAGACCGGAGGGTCATTAAAATTTTAGCCAATCACCCTGATATTGGCAGAGTCCAATTACTAGGATTTTGTTATTGGTGCTTCGCTAACCACAACTTCTTTTTACCATGAAATCTTAAGCATACCATGTACTAGGGCTGAACGATAAATCAATAGTTCAATATGTCTATCGATTGACGTGTGATGCGATAAGAAAAAAATAAATAGGTCGATAAAACTTCGATAAAAAGTTTCCTTTTTTCATTATACCCATCGGGTAGCAGCATATTAGACTAACTACTTACTCCTAACCAATCAAAACCACAGACTCAGGCACCGGGCCCTCCCCTTCTCAAGCCAAAACAGAGCATGAGGCAGCCGCAGCAAGATGTCTCAGCGAGAAGAGGTGGAGAAAAATAAAAATACCAAGAAGAAAATGGCCAGGGCTTCACGTAAAATATATTTTCTACAATTGTTTTAATATTTTTTTCATAATTATCAATATTGATCAATATAAATTTTTTTTATTGATTTCCTTTTTTTCTATATCATCCAGCCCTACCATGTACATATATTCAATTAAACTGAGATCATTTATACAGCACCAAATCATGACATGAGTCGTCTCAAGACACTTCAAAGTAAACATTCCTATACAGGTCAGTTCATTAAGCCAAGTGCCTGCCATACACTGGCACCACTGGTCCCTCCAACAACCACCAGTAGGCAAGCTAGTTTAAGTGTCTAGCCCAAGGACACAACAGCAGCATTCTCTGGTAGGAGCCGGGATTGAACCTGCAACCTTCAGATTACTGGACAACCCGCTCTATCTATTGAGATACTGATGTCCCAGGCTCAGTATAAACAGCCATCGGCCACAACTCACTGGGGATTGAGAAGACAGAGCAGACACACAATATATGTTTGTGTTACAAACATCTGGTACAAAAACAAAAGTTACGAGAATTAGGCTTCAAACTACATCTTTTTTTTTTTTGCATTTGTTAGTCCAAATAAGTATTTCATGTATTAAATGTCAACTCTATAACATAACCACCGTTTGGAATTTTTCATTCAAAGAATACAAAAGTAAAATGAGCAGTGTATCGTGGATGCCTCTCAGCTACTATGACCTAAAGGTTTGTTAGGGACATTTTTGTGTTAGCTGATGGCAATGTCACAGTAAAACCAGCTAACTGAGCTGGTAACATAGGCAGAAAGAACCCCTGTAGCAGAAGTGAAGGTTTTTGTTTGAAACAAAGCCAGGAGTAATGATTAATGGGGTGCCACTATTGCTCCAGCATAAAACATGGACACATTTGACTTTTTGTTGTGATATATAGACTTGTTGTGTATAGGGAGTGGTTTTAAAGGCAAGCTGTTCAGGCAGGAACGAGATAAAGTCACCAAACTGTTAATAACAGTCACAAATCCCTGGCAGGGGAGACGCTGCGAGAGGGGTGCATTTTTCGCTACAACACCAGTAAAATACTCCAGCTTGCTTGCTACGGTACGGATGTGACATCAGAAACAGCGATTAAATCGTTTCCACTACGTTTACTTCTCTCTCTCATAACACCACTGCGTTGTTCTAAATGCCATGCATTTAGTCGCAGGCGGATTCATGGAGCTACAAGTCCAACAGGCAAAGTACTCGAGCTTTAAGTAACGCTAGTTTTGTCTGGGGGGAAGTCTTGGCGCCAAACACTCACAGGCCCTCGGCAGGCAGGCGAGGAAATCAAACATGGCGCCACCACCGTACAAAGATGTCACTTCCTACAGCTATTAAAGAGAATATTTTTGAGCTCAGCCATTTTTAGTTCTCAAAAGAAGATAACTAAATGCTACAATAGAAGAGTTAACACAATGGTATTGCGATTTGTAGGGTGGAGGGACATACATGTTCCTGGGATAGCTGAAAAGGACCAGGCCCTGTGGCCTGAATAACCATCCTGGCACACTGAACACACGCGCATATTGTTCACATTCCTCCCGCGTTACCTTCAGTTCATGTTCGCTTTCCGCTTGGTTCCAAACACAATGGGTCATACAGACCGCAGAGACATCCAGGTTTATGGGCCGTGGTCCCAGCTTTAGATTAAAACGAGTTTGAATCCCAGCACACAGTGGGAATCTCTAACCCTAGCAGCCCACCCACCAACACGCCACAAGAGCTCTATTGTACCGCTCGTTCCTCCGGGTCCTAAACCTCACCGGTTAACGTGGATTTCTTCAACAAATTACTACCAAACGCAAAACCTAAAACAAACCCGGATAGACAGGAAAATGTAAGATCCTGTAGATTTTAATGGGTTTGAAACCGTAGCTGAGATGCATTTTTAGAAGTTAGAGCAGCAAATCAAAAACTTCAAAGGACTAATCACATGAAGTTCATCTTCTTGTTATCAACCCTACAAAACAATAGTGGGTTCATTACATTGCTTTAAAAATCACATTGGTCTAAATTTAGCTGGTGGTTTTATTTAAAATGACGGTAAAAAGCCAGCCCTCGTTCGGAAACGAGTGTCAAGCATGGTGTCAAGCCAGCCCTCATTGGCTTTTTACGGGCGCAACTACAAGAGTGTCTTTCAAAATAAAAGCGCACTTCTAAGATGTGTGTCTGAACTATCGACATATATACACATTAATCGTGAGGTCTAACCTAACCAATGAATAGACCAAATTGTTTTTATGGCCAACTTTGATCACAGTTTATTTTGAAATGCCACATTAGATTCTTTTGAAATTCGGAAAGGATTTAGTACTCGATGTGTACTTTAAGACTGAGGTAGAATAGATGTCGTGGAATCAGACAGTTTTTGAGAAAGAAACCATTGAATATAGTGAAAATTGTCATTATTGAGAACTTTGATTGTACTTTATTTTGAAATACCACATCAGATTTTTATGAAAATGGGGGCTTATGTAGTTCTCGATGTGTACTTTATGACTGATGTGGAATGATGCTGCACAATCAGACAGTTTTTGAGAAAGAAACCATTGAATATGGTGAAAATTGTCATTGTTGAAAACTTCGATTGCACTTTATTTTGAAATACCACAACAGATCTTTATGAAAGTCGGGGAGGATGTAGTACTAGATGTGAACTTTAGGAGTGATGTAGAATTATGTTGCGCAATCATACAGTTATTGAGAAAGAAACCATTGAATATGGTGAAAATTGTCATTATTGAGAACTTTGCACTTTATTTTGAAATGCCTCATCAGATCTTAATGAAAATGGGGGAGAATATGGTACTCAATGTGTAATGTAGGACTGATGTGGAATGATGTTGCACAATCAGACAGTTTTTGAGAAAGAAACCATTGAATAAGGTGAAAATTGTTGTTATTATTGACAACTTTGATTGCACTTTATTTTGAAATGCCACATCAGATCTTTATGAAAATAGGGGGGGGGGTGTAGTACTCAATGTGTACTTTAGGACTGATGTGGAATGATGTTACGCAATCAGACAGTTGTTGAGAAATAAACCATTGAATATTGTGAAAATTGTCATTATTGACCAATTTGATTGCACTTTATTTTGACATGCCACATCAGATCTTCATGAAAGTAGGGGAGGATGTAGTACTCGGTGTGTACTTAAGGATTGATGTGGAATGATGTTGTGCAATCAGACCGTTTTGGAGAGCCATTGAATATGGTGAAAAATTTCATTATTGACCAATTTGATTGCACTTTATTTTGAAATGCCACATCAGATCTTTATGAAAGTTGGAGAGGATGTAGTACTCAATGTGTACGTTAGGAGTGATGTGGAATGATGTTGCACAATCAGTTTTTGAGAAAGAAACCATTGAATATGGTGAAAATTGTCATTATTGACAACTTTGATTGCACTTTATTTTGAAGTGCCATATCAGATCTTTATGAAAGTCGGGGAGGATGTAGAGCTTTATGTGTACTTTAGGAGTGATGTGGAATGATGTTGTGCAATCAGTTTTTGAGAAATTAACCATTGAATAGTCAAAATTGCTTTTAGAGCCAACTTTTGATACATTATTTTGAAATACCACATCAGATCTTTATGAACTTTGGGGAGGATATGGCACTCGATCTGTTTTATGTTGCCCACAATTTAATAAAAAAATTACGTTTAAATTGTGTTTATTCTTTTAAAGTATTTTTAAATAAATATAATAATTAAAAACGCAGTTTTATCTTGCACACAAATTTTCACACAAAAACGTTTAAATTGTGTTCGTTCTTTTAATTAAATGTATTTTTAAAATAGATAAAATCATTAACAATGTAGTTTTATCTTGCACACGTTACAGAATTTTTTTTAATCGTTTTCATTAAAAGTATTCTTTTAATAGATAAAATCATTAAAAATGCAGTTTTGTCTTAGACAAAATGTAACACATACAGAAAAAGTGTTCATTAGCACGTTCAGACACACATCCTAGAAGAGCGCTTTTATTTTTGAAAGACACTCTCGAATGAGGACACCGAAATTGCTCTTGTAGTTGCGCCCGTAAAAATCGAAGGAGGGCTGGCTTGACACTTGTTTCCGAACGAGGGCTGGCTTGACGGCAGTGAACAGTTTTAGCACTGAAACTCCTTGAGAAAATTCATAATTCACTTTTCTGGGGATGGAAAAAACAGAACAGGTATACAACACAAACAATGTGTGTTCACGTTACTAAAGACAGCAGCTAAAGATGAGCAGATTTTTACAAATCTGCAGCAACCACACGAGCAGCTTCAAACAGCTAGTGACATATATGGCTATGAAAAAAGAAAATGCTGTGCTTAAAAAGAGGAAAAGAATGCTTCCCTTCACCCTGATGACCAGATCATCCGTCTCTGTCAGCATAAAACAATGTCCCAATGTTATAGTGACTAAATCTAACATGCTTTACCAAGATGGACACTGCAGGCTCAGATTAGACATCTAGTCATTTTGTTCTTAGAAGTACAAAATATAAAAATATATATTGGGTATGAATCTGCTTCTATATATAAAGACATCCAGTAAAGTATAATACAAACTTTTAAAAAGAATCTTCATCAAAAATGTCAGCTAAGTTCTGCAGGTTTACAGCTAACAAAATGATCCGACCAGAAAGCACAGTCCAGTCATTTTCTAAATCTGACTTTGGCCTAAACCCAATCAATGAAGATGGCAATTATCTACTATACAGCATTTTAAATACAGACTTTTCATAAAACAGAAAAATATATAAACTAAACCACACACACAGGTACCCAAGCACTGTGCTCATGTTTACATCCACTGCTTTTGTTGTATAAGAGCATGATTAACATCAATTTCTTAAATAAAAATTACATTTATAGGATGGAGCTACATTTACAACAGATAAAAGCGATAAACATTCATAAAATCATAAATATTCACAGCACTTTTCCCATCTAATGTTTGAGTGGTTAACAGTAGATTCAACTTTTCCTGTTGGAACATTTCATGTTTGGAAGTGGCTTGTTTAATTCAAGGCATTATCAAACAGTCCCAAAAAGAGAGGCATATCACCAGAACTCAGCTTGAGCTACAGGTGGCAGAGGGGGGTAGTAAAAACATCTCAATCTTCTCTGGCAGCTTGTTGGGATGGCTAACCTTTCACAAGCCCATCTGCATGTCAGCAAAGTTGAAGAAGCTGTCGACATCCCGAGAAGATGTATTTTTGTTATCAGAGACAAAAACCTGCAAAAAAAAAGCAATAATAATAATAATTATGGCACAAATTAAGTTTGTTGGACGCCTGTCTTCAACTCATCAATCCACAAATGCCATAAGCAGTGTGACTACCTTGGTGCCACTGAAGACTTCATTTGCAACCTTCTTGCAGGCTTCTACAACTCCATCACCATTCAGCTCGAGGGCAATGACAGGACCTGGAGCAGTGAGATATGAAGGTAACAGGACTGAAATGTCCACCCTTGCATGTACGGAGTCTATCTCATATCTTAGTTTCTCCTTTTAAGTTGCCCAGTTCTCTTTCACTGGAATGATTACAAACTACCAACACAAAGACTGAACGTATGGGAGCGACGACCATGACCTGTGACTCTGTGTCTGATCATTTGTAAAATATCTTATGAGCAAACAAATTTTAATTAAACGTTGGAAAAGTATTGATTCAAATAGCTTAAATGTGTCGTGTAGCGTGTGATATACATTCCTTTAACAAATGCTAGGTCCTCACAATGAGGTAATAACCCTAACTGTACACAAAGAACAACCTTGCTGTGTTGTTGAGGGAGAACCAAGGAGCCATTTTGGTCCAAATTTTATGAAGCCAACATGGAAGTGGTAAAAAATTGCAGTTCCACTCCCATCCACTAGGGGCTGGCACCAAAACAGAGCCAGTTCCCATTGACTCCCATGTTAAAAATGCAGATTTCACAGCAGAAATAAACATGTTTACAGCCCGGTTCAAAAAATATTTTAGATTTAATAGATCTAGTTTACACTCAGGGCAACTCTGAGGGGAGTGAATTGTTTGTGACTCTTCTGTTTAAGTGTAATAACATTATTAAAATTGTGAATAATTAATGAGCATCAGAGCCACGCCAGAGCTAGCGCTGAGTTAGCTCCAGGGAACGGCCTCAGCCTGGGCCTCATGTTAATAGATGTTTGGTTATTTTGACTCTCTGCACTTTATTTGTGTCCCTCTGTGTTCGTTTTTGATGTTAATCATGGAATTATTTGGACAAAGAGGGCAAGTTGTGGTATTGACTGCATTAACAGATCATCCAAGCAGTTTCTGCTTCTTTTTTTATCAGTAATTAAATTATATTTCTGTACTTTATTTTGCTGGTTGAATGGGGAAACATACTGCTTGCTCAAAGATGGGATGACATATAACATATCGGTGGGGCTGGCTGACTAGGTACCGAAACTCGTGTTGCTAGTTGGCAGAGGCTTTGGCTTCTGTGGAGCTGGGTTCACTGCTCCACTGTGGTGAAAGATTTGTGAGGTTGCTGCTGCAGAGGTTTGAGTAGTTTTGGTAATGTGTCTTTAACAGCATAGCAGCACAGCAACAGTCCTGCGATCAGATATCCGCAAATCTACTGCTTCATTCTTACAGAGGACGCCCAGCGAGGCGAGCACCCAGCCCCTCAGCCAGGAACAGCTGCTACATGCAGGCGGCCACAAACTCTCGTCTTCCAATGGGTTCTGAGAAGCACTGCGCCTCCGTCTGGCTTCCATGCTAGGTTTTAGCTGCGCTGCTCAACTGTGGAGCTCTATGACGGCGTTTACAGATATACCGCTGCTTTTTGAGTCGCTTTACTGCGTTTCTCTTGGTAATAGTGCCAGAGAAACCTCCGCCAGCCTGAGTTAGCATGTAGCTAATCTCCGACCTAGGTGGAGTGTGAAGTCATGTAAGCGGCCAGAGTGCTCAGCTATGATCTCAGCGGTCTGAGGCTCTGCTTGTATTTTAACGGTCCATATTAACGCTTCACAAGCTACCAGCATGACAGCCTAGCATGGAAGCCAGGTGGCCGCGTGGGTGGGCTACCCCAGAGCTAAGTTAGCTAGTGGCTACATTAGTTTATTTAGTTCCAACTGTAACAGCTCCACCCTCAGCTCCACCTTTTTCCCATTTTTGGATTGTCTGGGCGTGACGACACCTGTGGCATGGCCAAAATGGCGATGGTGGGAACCTCCTATTTGGCTTCAAACCTGCCCCGCACAGAGCAACGAGCGGGGGGGTGTTCATCCGTTTTATATGTCGATGTGGAAAACCAACTAAACAACATTTGACCACCAAATGCTCATCAAATCCTTCCGCATTAATGGCAGTGTGTTTGATGGCATGGGGGCTTTTTCATAGTTGAGGGTTTAGAGGAATCCAACATATCCTGAGCATTTCTTTTCAATACACCTAGATTTTATGTGCATGCTACTGCTTGCTACTTTTCACTAGATTTGTGAAACATCTAAGTGAGATGAAAGCAGACACCAAGTAGTATTGAGCGGACATGTTAAAACCATCGACTAACCTTTGGAGATCCACTCCACCAGATCATCAGCGCTGTTCTGAAACACTCGCTTCACATCTTCTGGCCGCATAGAAACCTCTTTCGTTTGGATAAGCACAAAACCGTTAGCAGTTGCCTGTGCAAAGAGGAGATAAGCAAGTTGTATAACAGCTGGCAGTGAATCACAAGGTATCCAGGTGTTCTTAAAGTCAGATGCACTTCTGAATTTTTCCCACATGGGACTCCTGGCTCATGCAGCGATGCATTACCCTTTTAGCAACAGGTAATCTCAAAGGAATTTTTACCGAGAAATCCACTCGACTGAGCATGAAAGCTTGGCACTTGGTTACAACAATACACACAACAGAGGCGATTAAAATAAAGCACAAAAAATGCTACAGAATTATTCCCTTGATTTTAAAAACATTTAAGCTGTAGGTTGCTTAAATCTTTTAAAATAGCAGCAAAAGTGATAAAAACAGGGCAAGAGTAGTACATTTCATCACTCAGTTTAAAACAGCAAGCTACCAAGCAGGTTTAGAGCAATGTGCAGCCAGGCAAATGTTTATAAAAGCATACCAGCGTTATTGCCAAGTAGCCAACAGGTTCACATATCTGTGGTGATTGCATGTGTCGATTTTTGTTTTGTTTTAATCCTTTTTGGGGTCTTTAATACATTTACCCATCATCTCCTTCCTATTTTGATTAATCACACTCTCAAGCTCACTGAGACCTTGAAAGGTTTTCAACTTGTGTGCAATTGTGTAATGTCTGAATGTTGTGCAGTGAGCAAACTCTCACACAACATTCCAGCAGCATCACATTTAGAAAACCTCCTCTGACAATCACCTCATCAATCAGTTTGCGGGCATTTGCTGTGGAGTATTCTCCAGCAAAGAAAACAAAAAGACAAGACTCCTCGCTGCCCTTCCGCCTCCCTCCCTTTGTCAAAGGCACAATGCTCCGCGAGGGGTCAGTGGACATTCGAATAGACTTGAATTCTGACTCAGGGTCAGGTGCTGGAACAAAATCCAGAACTGATGAGTCCTCTGGCAACAAGCTCCAGTTGTTCTCCCCCGACACTGGCGTAAAGTCGTGGATGTTGCTCCAGTTGTTGTTGAATATACTCAGGCCAGCATCCTTAAAGTGGAAGGCCAGTTCGGGGTAGAAGTACTGAAAGCAGCCAAACTTCATCCCCGTAGATGACTCAATGATGGGCTGTGTGGCGCAGCAGAGGAAAACTTCCAACTTTTTGCAGTCCCGTGTGCGAAACTGTTGACAGGCCACCACACACTTGATGTCTTTACAATCTCTGAAAAACACACTTCCCTTTACAGGGCCTAGGAAAATGCGGCAGTTGACACAGTCATCAATGGTGATAGCTGCTGAGTGGTCAAACACGTAGATGTTGCAGTTCTCACACTCTTGGATGACAAACTGCTGCCCGTTCAGTTTTCCAGACAGCCGACCCGCTGTGACGTCTCGGAGCCCAGTCAGCATGTAGTCCTTTGGGTCAACCTGTGATCAGTACATACATGTTAAAGCAAAACAAAATATGGAAGATTTAAAAAAAACACACTAGGCTATTCTAATCTATAATAATTTAATGTTTCACGTTTGGCCTCGTTAGCATGTGGGTGTTCCTGTTTATTTTTGAGCTTGGTAACCAAATTAAACGGAAGTCCGACCACGCCTGTAATGTCTCAACAAGCTAACTTAAGGCTATGTTGTGTAGTAATCCCATAATGAGATAACGTTAGCTACACGAAGCCGGACTTAAAAACCTTGACCCTGAGTTGCTTTGGGGGACTAGACGATACGGGATGTTTTCTTTCAACTCTACCATCACTAATCTGTTTTGTAATCCATGTTTTTATAAAACATTATCATTACTAATTAATAAAACAAGCTAACTGAAGCTTTAGCTAAGCTCTTGATTTCTGTTCAATGAAGGTGCGGCTAACTTACCACAAACGATAAAGGACAGGTGTGTTTTAGTGACTTTAACCACAATAAGTTTATTTTATTGTTATTTCTTGATTTTCTTTTTATTATTACAGCTTAATTGCCTCACCTTTTCTCTCTTATCCCAGCTGTATTGCTTCGGCGCCTCGTCGACGTTGTTGCCAAGGGGAACCGTGTTACCTGCATCGTCGACACTCGTTGTCAGCGCAGGATCCTCTTTTCCTCCAGACTTTCTTTTAGATTTCTTCGAATAGAAGCAACCCATGGTGCTCAATTCGAAGCGACCAGATCTGAATTCGTTGCAAATCTGTTAAAATACAACTGTGACTGTGACCAGAACGAGCGTAACTACTGTTTTCTTAAGCTTCCCTTTTTCACAGCTTCATTTCGCAACCAATAATTGGCTTGGTGAAAAATGCAACAGCCAATCAAAAACCAGGACAGAAAGAAGTACTCGAGGTATGAGCTTACGTAGCTCTAACGTAAAAGAGGCGTGCTCTGGGGCGTTTAAATACATCATGTAAATCTATGTTTAGCTCCAAATGGGCTAAAAAGAAGTCATCTGGCACACAAAGCATAAATGATAGCAGACGGTAAATTGAAAAAAGTAGTTTTTCCCTTTTTCTCACATTTTTATCATGAACTGTTTTTAAAATCTTTTTTTATTTTATTGATTTTGTGAAGTGCCTCGTGATATTTAAGTGCTATATCTTTTTTTTTTAGTTTCCCCATGTGGTATTTGGTGTTGTGAAAAACAAATGCCTTTAATTGTTTCTTTAATTCGCACACTGCATCTTTTCCATGAAGATGTTTTGCCAATAGGGGAAGTAAAGACATATCATTTGAAAGAGAAAGAGAAGCTAAATTAAAATAATTTCCTAATCAACTATCATGTACATAGTAACAGTTACATATTGGGAACACATCTGTGGTAATTTAAGCTGATTAAAAAATTGCGGAAGGAATGGTGTAGTAATAGATATAACATTAGATTGAACCCTGATGGACTGAAGCAAGTTCTAATGTGCCTCACGTCCACCTGCATCCTCACAGGCCAGGTTGCTGGCTTGTTAACAGCAGTTAGCTTGTTTGGTATCACACAACACTGGTTGAGAGCATCTAGTTCCACTGCAAATGGGACTTAGAATAAGCTGACTTTTTGTTTCACCAGCCTCAGCAGTTTCTTTCATTTTCTTCCTATTTCTGTGGGATTGTCCAGTCGTCCAGTTTCTACTGCTTCATTTCTGGTAGGTTTTGTTTTCAAGTGAACTCAGGGTTTAGGGTCAACAACAGATCCTACAGCCCATTTTGGCCAGCTCATCACATTTCTGTTCATGTTTTATTGAGGGGTAATATTGCTGCTGCTGTATAGTTGTGCTTGTCGCATGTTTTGCAAATTAATCATTCACTGGTGGTTTGCTGCTTGATTTATTTGTTACTGCTTGGAGTGGATTTGCCTAATGACCAAAAGGTTTTACCCTCTGTGCTCCATCATTGCTTCCTCCTACCCTCCCACTCTGTTTTACAGCTTCAAAGGTGTGACTGGAGCAGAACTAAGGGTATTTAGCTTGGTTCCGGAGGATTCCTAGGGGAACATTTGTCTGTACGAGTGCAGCCAAAAGGCGTGCTTGGAGAGGTTTTGGGCAGATCACCACCGAGGCTTCTGGGTACTGTTTGGAGGTTTTTAAATGCCTGTTTTTAATTTATAATACTTCAAAGCACATTGAATTGTAAGAAATGTGCAATATATAGGTGGCTGACTCACTTTAAAATGAGTTACTCAAAAAAATAAAAAATAAAAAGGAAAGCAGCTTGAAACCAGAAGCTGTTTTGTTGGAACTCAGTAGAGAAGGCACAGTATCTGGAGACTAACCATGGGGAGCCTCTCCTTCCGGTTGGCTCATGGGTCCCTGAACTGAGGCTTTAAAATATATTTTCTAATCTTCTTTGCCAAACACCCTGAATAGCACATTTGTTGTTCTTCAAATTAAATGAAAAGCAATGTTGAGTTTCACATCACAGGATGCTGGGTCTCTTCGACAATCATAAACACCCCAAAAACTGGCAACAGATCATTTCCCTTGCCAAAAATTGTTTATGAATGTGGAAGAGGTCCAGCATCCTGTGATGGGACTAATAACATCAAGAGATAATAAATAAAGTAATATTTAGGTCAATTTAACTCTTTACAGGTGACCAGGACACTCTAATCAATTTTTGGCAAGGGAAATGATCATTTTTTGCCATTTTGGGAGTGTTTGTGATGATACAGTAGGCAGTATGAGTGCAATAACATCAACAGATAATACATAAAACCCTTATTTGGTCAATTTTAGCCTCCATGAAAAACTGGGTGACTCGATCACTTTTTGGCAAGTATAATGTCATTTTTGTTGTCTACAATTAAATCATTAATAAAGAATTTAAAGATATTTTGAGGCGTTTCTTATAGGTAAACAGGAGGGTGTAGTCTCTATTTGGCAAGTGACAATCTTAATTTTATGTGCTGAAGTGCTTTTATCTTGTTACTTTTAAATAGAGCAACATAATGTATAGATAGTAACCTACACAGTGTCATTATAGAGCCGAAGCTTCATCAGTTTAAATGCTATTGTTCAAGTAAAAATGTGCCCCAAACTAGTTAACTGTGGCTCCATGTCAAGTGGACTAAAGAAAGGAAGGGAGGGAGAGAGATCAAATCACTGGAGAATTGTTTATTTACATTTATACAACGTTTGACTTTACATTCAATACAGGGCGCCATTTTACATTATTTATTTTTTAGTATCAAGGCTGTAGCATAAAGAAAGCCAGTTCTTACCACAAACCATCTTTCAATCGCAAATATTGCAAAAAGGATTAATATATCCTCATTGTGAACGTTTAAGACAAATAGCAACAATTAAAACAACTTCCCAACTGGAAATCTAATATCCACCATAAACATCAGTTTAAGTATGTACAGTCTATGGTTTAAGAACCGGACGAGGTTATCTCTGCTTTCTCAATGTCCATATTGCTAGATATGCCGAGTTTTAAGGCCAAATCCTGGGGAATTTCGTCTAGAAATGCAATTGCCCTAACCGTGCGCGATCCCGCGGTGGCTAGTCATTATTTGGCAGCCAGCCGCTTTTTGGCACAACAGGTGACAATATGGGTGGATGGGGACCTGATGGGGACCCATGGTCCCATCCACTGATGGGGACCTGATGGGGACCCATGGTCCCATCCACTGATGGGGACCTGATGGGGACCCATGGTCCCATCCACTGATGGGGACCTATGGATGGGGACCCATGGTCTCATCCACTGATGGGGGTGACTAAAGGTCACCTGGACTAAAGGCTTCCTGTTAAAATAATTGCATGGAGTTACATGTTTGGCCACAAGGGGGCATTGCAACAGTAAAAACACATCATCCTGAACCTGACCTAACATTAACCATACAGTTTTGTAGTCTTTTTAACTTCTTATTGGTAGATGTGCAACTGCTCAGTCTTTAGTAAGCTAGCTCACGTCAGTGAGAACATGGTCCCATACAAATCTGCAGTGACATATTTGAATGCAAATGCTGCAGTTATTTAGAGCAAAGTGTCGAGCCTAGTCACTATCCAACATATTTAAAGGTTTTTCCTCCACCAAACCACCTGGTTCAACTGCTGAATTACCAGTTCAGCAGATCATCATCACCCGCTGTTTAAAATCAGGTGAGTTGAAGCAAAGAAACCTCTAAATGTGATAAATTAGCTCTTGGTTGTCAAGGATCGGGACTTGTCACCACTGAGATGTTTCCAGCAGAACTACTTTCAAGGTGCCTGGATAGTAAAATCAAACCCAAGCAGGTTAAGACTTTTGCATTTGATAGCTAAGAAAATAAACTTCACATGCAACAGAAAGTCTCTTTCAGAATGAATTAAATTGTTAGAAGTAAATTTTACAAGTAGATACACTACAGAGCCCACTAGTTACCATGACTCCCCGTTCTTCTGCAGCACATCCCACAGGATGCCTTTGTGTTTGGGTCTGCAGGTTGCAACATAAAAACCCTTCAGTTGTCTTCAAATATCTGGATCCATGCTCACAAGTAACAGAATGTCTGAAGAGTTGGTTGTCATGTTGTGATAAAAGTAAAGCCAAGATGCTTTTCACAAATACAGGGAGTGCAGAATTATTAGGCAAATGACTGTTTTGTCCACATCATCCTCTTCATGCATGTTGTCTTACTCCAAGCTGTATAGGCTGGAAAGCCTACTACCAGTTAAGCATATTAGGTGATGTGCATCTCTGTAATGAGAAGGGGTGTGGTCTAATGGCATCAACACCCTATATCAGGTGTGCAGAATTATTAGGCAACTTCCTTTCCTTTGGCAAAATGGGTCAAAAGAAGGACTTGACAGGCTCAGAAAGGTCAAAAATAGTGAGATATCTTGCAGAGGGATGCAGCAGTCTTAAAACTGCAAAGCTTCTGAAGCGTGATCATCGAACAATCAAGCGTTTCATTCAAAATAGTCAACAGGGTCGCAAGAAGCGTGTGGACAAACCAAGGCGCAAAATAACTGCCCATGAAGTGAGAAAAGTGAAGCGTGCAGCTGCCAAGATGCCACTTGCCACCAGTTTGGCCGTATTTCAGAGCTGCAACATCACTGGAGTGCCCAAAAGCACAAGGTGTGCAATACTCAGAGACATGGCCAAGGTAAGAAAGGCTGAAAGACGACCACCACTGAACAAGACACACAAGCTGAAACGTCAAGACTGGGCCAAGAAATACCTCAAGACTGGTTTTTCTAAGGTTTTATGGACTGATGGAATGAGAGTGAGTCTTGATGGGCCAGATGGATGGGCCCATGGCTGGACTGGTAAAGGGCAGAGAGCTCCAGTCCCACTCAGACGCCAGCAAGGTGGAGGTGGAGTATTGGTTTGGGCTGGTATCATCAAAGATGAGCTTGTGGGGCCTTTTCGGGTTGAGGATGGAGTCGAGCTCAACTCCCAGTCCTACTGCCAGTTTCTGGAAGACACCTTCTTCAAGCAGTGGTACAGGAAGAAGTCTGCATCCTTCAAGAAAAACATGATGTTCATGCAGGACAATGCTCCATCACACGCGTCCAAGTACTCCACAGCGTGGCTGGCAAGAAAGGGTATAAAAGAAGAGAAACTAATGACATGGCCTCCTTGTTCACCTGATCTGAACCCCATTGAGAACCTGTGGTCCATCATCACATGTGAGATTTACAAGGAGGGACAACAGTACACCTCTCTGAACCGTGTCTGGGAGGCTGTGGTTGCTGCTGCACGCAATGTTGATGGTGAACAGATCAAAACACTGACAGAATCCATGGATGGCAGGCTTTTGAGTGTCCTTGCAAAGAAAGGTGGCTATATTGGTCGCTGATTTGTTTTTGAATGTCAGAAATGTATATTTGGGAACGTGGAGATGTTATATTGGTTTCACTGGTAAAAATAAATAATTGAAATGGGTATATTTGTTTTTTGTTAAGTTGCCTAATAATTATGCACAGTAATAGTCACCTACACACAGATATCCCCCTAAAACAGCTAAACCTAAAAACTACTTCCAAAAACATTCAGCTTTGATATTAATGAGTTTTTGGGGTTCATTGAGAACATGGTTGTTGTTCAATAATAAAATTATTCCTCAAAAATACAACTTGCCTAATAATTCTGCACTCCCTGTATCTTATTTTAGTGTTTTACAACATGCAGTGTGAGGTAAGGGTTTAAAATATACTCTGACAGGGTTCAAGAGATGCAGTTTAAGCTCTTGAAGAATCACAAATAAACGTTCATGACTGCAGACAGTGATCAGCCACTAAGGCTTCGTCTTTCAGATGAAAACACATCATGCTCATTTCAGGACTGACAGACTCCTGTGGGATTCAGGTACCCCTCTCTGTATAAAACAACACATTCTGACAATTGTTCAAGTAACAATTCTGCACCTTAAATTGGGATTTAAGGACCAACACCCCGCTGCACAATTTAGCTGTAATTAGCGCTGTTGCCTCGCAGCAAGGAGGTCCTGGCTTCACATCTCAGCCCGGGGTCTTTCTGAAAACAGTTTGCATATTCACCCTGTGCTCACACGGGTTCCCTCTGGGCACTCCGTCCTCCTCAGTCCAAAAACATGACTGTCAGGTTAACTGGTCTCTCTAAATTGTCTTTAGGTGTGTGTGTGTGTGTGCATGGTTGTGCCCTGTGATGGACTGGCAATCAGTCCAAGGTGTTCACTCTGTGTTTGCCCAAAGGCAGCTGGAGATAGGCACCAGTTGCACATCCTGTTGCTGAACCAAGACCTGAACAAATGCAGCAATCCCAGATCATGGCACTGCCCCCACAGGCTTGTACAGTATAGGCACTAGGCATGATGGGTGCATCACTTCATCTGCCTCTCTTCTTACCCTGATGCACCATCACTCTGGAATAGGGTCCATCTGGACTCATCAGACCACAAGACCTTCTTCCATTGATCCAGAGTACAAGCGTCATGCTCCCTAGCAAATTGAAGCCTTTTTCTCCAGTTAGACTCACTGATTAGTGATTTTTTTACAGTTACACAGCTGTTCAGTCCCAATCCCTTGAGTTCCCTTCACCATGTGCATGAGAAAATGATCTTACTTTGAACATAGCCCTTACGTCTGTTTTTCTTCAATTTGATTTCATCAAACATTTAAGTGATTGCTGATCACAATCATTTGATTTCATCCCTCTCCGGAGACGATGGGTCTTCACTATCCTTCCAGGTTTTAATCAGTTGGACAGTTTTTAACCCAGTTTTAGTCGTTTCTGCATCTCCTTAGATGTTTTCTCTGAAGCATGCCAATGATCTGACCCTTCTCTAACAGACTAACATCGTTTCCACAACCACCAAATGTGTCTTCCACATGGTTGAATAAGAAACCCATTGCTCCAGTTGGGGTTAAATAACTTAAAAAGTAACACCTAAATCAACTTATTTTTTGCTGATAACCTGCATGGATGAGTGTGTAATAGTGCTGTAGACATGTGCAGTCATTAACCCCAAGCATGTGAGCATGGATCCTAACCCTAACTTACTTAAAATTTAATAGATCTCCATCTTCATGGCTGCACTGGACTCCAGCTCAGTCTGGCCACACCTCCTGCTGGCTCAGCCAGTTACCATCTTGGAGTCACTCGCCCCCTTAAACGTACTCTTCCCCTCTATCTTCAAGTGATTGCAGTAGACATCAAATATTCGAGCCTGTAGTAGTTTTAGTGTTTGCTCTTCTGCTGAGCGGTGTGTGTGTGTGTGTGTGTGTGTGTGTGTGTGTGTGTGTGTGTGTGTGTGTGTGTGTGTGTGTGTGTGTGTGTGTGTGTGTGTGTGTGTGTGTGTGTGTGTGTGTGTGTGTGTGTGTGTGTGTGTGTGTGTGTGTGTGTGTGTGTGTGTGTGTGTGCACGCACGCTTGTTAACCTGTTTTTCGACTGAGAAACTCCAGGACTGCACGGCTGTCAACCACTGCCTCAGTGCCTCTCTCAGTCTGCTGGGTGATACCTCCTTTTTCTAACAAGTGTGGATGAATAAAGTCTCCACCCTGTGACTGACCCTTTAAGAAAATTGCTCATGCAGTAATTATCCAATAGGAGTCTTGTACCTGTTTGCTTATTTAAATCCAGGTGACAACATAAGTTTTTATCCTGGCATTGTAATTGAAAGGGACTGAGCAGGTGTAACTTGATTTGAATGGATTTACACACATGCAAAGAAACATGATCACCTTACGCTGAAAGGTTAATGAAGCTAACCCACTACAGAATGTGGTCTAGCTGATGGCATCTCTCTGCTTCTACCTGAAACAGCCAAGATCCAGGTAGAACAGGTTAACCAAATATGCATGCCCACAGCAAAATGGCTTTGTTTGCCCTTTAAATACACACCGCATGCAGGAGGGCTGGAAAACGAGAAAGAGCAGCTGCTGAAAAAGTTGGAGAAGGCAGAAATTAAAAAAAGGTTTGACCTCAACTGTGAGCTCAAGGGAACCAAGTTCCCAAATGGATTATGTACTATATTTGTATTAAAACACAACCCAGTGCTTCAAATCTAATGTATGCTAATGTATGCATATCCAAACCGGGTCTTTGACTCTGCTTCTCCTCGGTCCAGTCAGACCAGCCACGGTTTCCTGTTGTTGAAGAGAAACAGAAATGCACAATCATCAGAATCTCTGACTCAGTTGCGTTATCATCCCGCAGCCTCTCTCCCTCCCTGACTGGAATGAAGTCGTGTGCCTTTAAAAGGTTGAGCTCGCCGGTCTGGATCGGGTCTTGGCTCAGCTTAGAGGTTCTCTCCGGCAGTGACATGGCAGAACGAGTGTGTGCGCTCTCAGCTGCAGCATCCTCCCCACCATCCTCCTCGTAGACCATGGTGGCTCTCCCGCGGTGCCGCTCGCGCGGGACGGCGCTGCTGGTGCCCGGTTGGATCCTGCTGATCTTGGTGTCCGGACTGAAGGCGGAGAACGGAGGAATGGAAGAACTTGTCACCGAGAAGGAGGCAGAGGAAAGTCACCGACAGGACAGCGTCAATCTGCTGACATTCATCTTCCTGCTGACGCTGACCATCCTCACCATCTGGCTCTTCAAGCACAGACGGGTTCGCTTCCTCCACGAAACCGGACTGGCGATGATTTACGGTGAGGCTTCCTGGGTTCGGCGCTTCTTCCTCTGCATGCTTTCCCTTGTGTGTGTTCGCAGGTGATCTGGACCCCGCAGCTGCACGCGCTCTAATAACTCTTAATTGGCTGGGCTCGTGCTCATTTCTAGAATATGCTTTGAGCTGCTCGGCCTCCGCACGCAGCTTAGTACCGACCGGGTTTACTCTGATCTCGGTGCATTTGTCTTTGCTCCAATACACTGAACGCAACACACACACACACACACACACACACACACACACACACACACACACACACACACACACACACACACACACACACACACATCAGAGAGGGAGGTCTTTCCTTTCAAAAGCCAACTTGCCTAATTATTCATTTATTTAAACCTGATGTTCAGTTGGATAACGCACACGTGCACAGCCTATTATAAATAATAAAGTATGATATGATTCATGTGGAATGTGAAAAGTTCCTGGTTTCTGGCTTGACTCAGTGGGCCTGGAACAGTTGGATGTGTGTGTTTGCAACACGCTGAATACACACACATGAAAAAACACATTTTCAGTTAGAACTGCACTAAAATCGTCCTAAGATACTTTAGCAGTGAAATTTGAATGTGGCTATAGGTCACTCGGGACATGATGTATTCACAAACAAGCTGTGACTCCTGCAGATGTCCTTGTTGGTATTGTAAGGTTGTCAGTGACGCCAAAGTAAAACTGCAACCAAGGAAGATGAGAGGCACTTTCATTTACAATGTGTTTGTGCTCTTTGGGGCTAAAACTGACAGACAGGTCTAATTCTGCAGCCTTAACACAAAATGTAATTGTTTCAGTATGTTTGCACACTTATTTGTGTATACAGCGCCTTGGGCTTCCTGACAGGGTTGTGGAAGGCGCTTTATAAATAAAGCTTTGATTTGATTTGCATTTTGAACACCAACCATTCAAGTTGTCTAACTTTTGTCACATTCTGTCTCAAAGTCTAACGAGAAGCAGCATTGGGCTTTCTACATGGGCTCTTGATGCTTGCCACAGCTGAACTGAACATATTCAAAAGTCTGGCAACACTACAGTGAGGCCCAACAATCGGCACAAGGAAATTAAGAAACTTCCTGAATTTTTTCAAAGTCTTTGGAAACTCCCTCACCCTAGCCTAGAAATCTAGACCAACCGTAGCTGGAGCAAGACTATGGTAGGTCTAGCCACACTTCATTTTAACCTCCGCAGGTGTACTGTAACACACTAAGTGACTGCATGAATGTGTCAGAGCTAGGAGCGACTGCAGAAGTTTCTGAAGAAACGGGTGTATTATAGCCATGAATAGCAAGCTTGACAAAAGGTGAATAATATACACACACATAAATAATTAACATAAACAACAACGATGAAATGAAAACAGAAAATCATGTATAACCAAAGCAGTCCCAAAAACTGCAAAGATGGCGTCTGCTCAGTAATTACGCTAATTTTAAAATGGCTTTGGTATCAACTTTAGACTGTTAAGAATTTAGCTTTTTTCCGAGACGTGAGCAGCTAGAAGTTAGTGCTTTATTTTGAAAAAGGATGTATTTGCTGTTTGATGTACAGCAGACTGCCCTGTGGACTGATTTCTGTAGGGATGAATATGCCGTTGAGGTCCGTGCTCTGATTGGGCCTAGATCTGTCCATTTGCGTGCGGAGACGATTTAAAAGACAATCGTAGATTCCGACCCACGACTGGATTCTTCCCACGGTCCAGTTTATATATTTAGATATCGAGGATGGCTTGCCAGGCTATCGCTAACCCTGATTAGTTTAGAGAACATACCAGATTTAGAGAAGAATGAACTCATTGAACCCAAAAAGAGCTGATGAAGTGTTCATCGCATGCTCGTATAAATGAGCTAAAACACACCTGCACCTCTGGTGAGTGTGGAAAGAACCTAAAATCTGTTTCCTCAAATGTTGTTCTCCAGAGTATCGAGGTGAAACAGCAGGTTAGTTCTGTCCCTGCATGAAGCCAACTTGGTCGTGCGTTTTGAGAGCCTTGGCCAAAGCCGCACCGTGATGGTTAAAATGGTAGCAGAGACGATCAGCCATGCAGCGCTGGCAGCTTCTTTCTGACTTGTCCGCTGGTCTGATCGCAGGATTTATGCCTCATCTCTTTATTCCTGAAGAACTCTTTCCCAGATCAACTTCCCATTTTGCATTTCTTTGCCCCGTTGCTCCTAACTCATCAGTGTGCTAGTAAACCAGGAGTGTGTGAGGAAACCGATGACGTTAATAATTGATATTTTTCTTTCTGATCTCTCTTGCCAGGTTTGTTAGTTGGTGTTATTCTGCGTTATGGTATTCCTGCCACCAGCTATCACAATAAGACGCCCCTGAGCTGCTCCATGAAGGAGGGACCTTCCAGCACCCTGCTGCTTAACGTCAGCGGCAAGTTCTTTGAGTACACCCTCAAAGGAGAGATCAACTCCAGGGAGATCCACAATGTGGAGCAGAATGATATGTTGCGCAAGGTAACTGTAAGAATAAATCCTCATCTGAGCCTTTCTGACACGTATGAACTCTTAAATTTATCATCTGCAGGTGACCTTTGACCCTGAGGTCTTCTTCAACATATTACTCCCTCCCATTATTTTCCACGCTGGCTACAGCCTGAAGAAGGTGAGAGCTTACATTTGAAGTCAAGCACTTGTGGCTGTTGCAAGAACCAGAAGCATGATGTGCTGTCGTCTCCGGCGGGAGCAGCATCTGCTGACACAAGCAGCTGTTTGATTGGACGGATGGTTTGCTCAGATGAACTTTCATTGGCCAGACTGAGAGTAGTCGGCATACGTGACCCCTTTAAGGGAACGTCCGGAGGAGATGTCTTTTGTTTCCTTTCTGCTGACACAGGAGACACAACGGTTTGGGCCATTTCTGCTGTTGACTCTTGTAATGTTTTGCTGACGGCCTCAAAGCGAGTCGCCTTTTTGTTTCATAGATTTGCTTCTCTTTCGTAACCATTACAGTATTTACAGTGTGACTTTGAGGCACAGCCTTAGTTGGCATCAGGAATAAAAGATTTTCTGGTGTCGAGATTCTCACCAGAGAGGATTCTGAAATGTGATTTGGTTTGTTGTCGTGGTTCTCGCTGATGAGTTAATTCCCAAATAGTCTCAAGGAGATGAGTGATTAGGGATCCTTCGGCTTCGCACAAACTTCAGGCTAAACACCGACTTGGCAAATGATGCACATATTTAAGGTTTGACCATTTGTGATGTTTGCTTTTGTGTTTAAACACTTCCTTATAATGTCACTAAATATTTGTTAACATTTTAAGCTGTTGCTTTCTAAACTGGTTTCAGTGGTTTTTGAACGTGAGCAGCTTAATCTGGAACAGCACTCTACTGCCCTCTGCTGGCCAGAAACTGTACTGAACAACTTAGTGGTTCGATTAGGTTCAGTAGTGGGAGTCGGAGAACGGCTGCGGGGGAGTTTACAGTGCTGATGGCTCATTTGAAAGCTAGCAGTTCGCTTTTTCAGTTTGCTGATCAATAAGAAGAACAAGAAGTTTTATTTTCATTTATTTATTTATTTTTATTGGCATCATGGCAGAGCCTGGAAGTAAAAGGAAGAGAGTAATGTCTTTGGACCCGAAGCAATGAATGCTTGAACTAGACCAGTGCTTCTGAATTAGTGGAACTGTTGGAGACCACAGGAGGCAGGAGAATCCATTATTTATCATATTTTTCACTCTGGAATGCTTCCAGTCACTAGGTGGCAGCAGAGCCTGAGCCTGCCGCCTAATCAACAGGCTGCCCCAAGCAGCAGAAGCAGCTTATAAATTCTCAGGAGCTTGGAGGTGACGGATCAAAAGCTGGCTGTTGGCAGAAAAAGATGAGAAAATAAGACAAAACTTCACATTAACTCTGAAAATCAACATTATGTGGCTGCAAACCTGGAGGCCGCAGATTCACGCTTGCTGCAGACTTAAGCCGACTGCAGGCTCACAGTTCTACTGTTTTTGAGACGGCGCCCTCTTAAGGCAAGGTCAGTCAGCTTTATTTATATAGCACATGTCATACAGAGGCAATTCAATGTGCTTTCTGTTAGAAATAACAGAACATTAAAATCAACATGACAGAATGCGAGGGTGAGCAAACGCAGGGCAGAAGGTGCTGCTTAAGAACATTTATTCAAAGCTGATGAAACATGAAGGTTTTCAATTTTGATTCAAAAGTTTCTGGAGTTGGGGTGACTTTGAGGTCACGAGGAAGCTGATTCCATCTGTGAGCAGCACAGTAGCTAAAAGCAGATTCACCCGATTTGGTTCTGACCCGAGGTTCTACCAGCAGATCCGTAGCTGTTTCCTAAGGATCTGAGAGCCCTGCTGGGTGTAGATACCTGAAGAGATCTAACATGTATTCTAGCCACCATGCCGTTGAGTGATTAATAAACTAGTGAAAGCACTTTGAAATAGATTCTGTGGTTTACTGGTAACCAGTGTAGAGATTTACTGGTAACCAGTGTAGAGATTAAGAACAGGAGTGATGTGTTTGGTTCTCTTGGTTCTTGTTAAGACTCTAGCAGCATTCTGAATTAGCTGCAGTTGCTTCACAGCTTTTTTTTTTTGGGAAAACCAGTCAAACGACCACTGCAGTAGTCCAGCCTTCTGGAGAAGAATGCATGGATATGCTTCTCTAGGTCTTGTCTGGACCTGAGACCCCTGAGTCATGCTTTTTGATGCAGGTGATAAACGCTGATCTACTTATAGCCTTAATGTAATCAGTGAAGCTCAGGTCAGAATCAATCATTACATCAAGGTTTCTAACCTGAGTCTTTGTCTTTCCTCCTCTGGATCCAAGCTGAGCATTAACCTCCATCCTATCCTTATTTCTAAAGACAATAGCTTCATCGTGTCTTTGTTTAACTGGAGGAAGTTTGATTGAACATGGAACATTGAAAAGGGAACATGCCGCGTAGACCTGGCAGACCCAAACGCATAGTGAGGGTCTGCTGGGAACGCCTGGCAGAAGAACCTGTCAAGACGGTCTTCAACTCCCACCTCCGGCAGAGCTTTGACCACGTCCCGAGAGCAGTGGGGGACATTGAGTCCGAGTGGGCCTTGTTCCACTCTGCGATTGTCGAGGTGGCTGTTGCTAGCTGTGGTCGTAAGGTGGCCGGTGCCAGTCGTGGTGGCAACCCCCATACCCGCTGGTGGACACCAGAGGTTCGGGGAGCCGTCAGGCTGAAGAAGGAGGCCTACAGGGCGTGGCTGGTCTGTGGGTCTCCGGAGGCAGCAGACAGGTACCGGATAGCCAAGCGGGGTGCAGCAGTGGCAGTTGCCGAGGCAAAATCTCGGGCGTGGGAGGAGTTTGGTGAGGCCATGGAGAAAGACTATCGATCGGCTCCAAAGAGGTTCTGGCAAACTGTCCGGCGCCTCAGGAGAGGAAGGCAGCAACTCGCTCACACTGTTTACAGTGGGGATGGGGAGCTGCTGACGTCAACTGAGGCTATAGTCGGACGGTGGAAGGAATACTTTGAGGAGCTCCTCAATCCCACCTATGCGCATTCCGAGGAGGAACCAGAGCTGGGAGGCCTGGGGATGGACTGTCCAATCTCGGGGGCAGAAGTTGCTGAGGTAGTCAAACAACTACACAGCGGCGGAGCCCCGGGGGCGGATGAGGTTCGTCCTGGGTATCTCAAGGCTATGGATGTTGTAGGGCTGTCATGGTTGACACGTCTCTACAACATTGCGTGGTCATCGGGGGCAGTTCCTAGGGAGTGGCAGACCGGGGTGGTGGTCCCCATCTTTAAGAAGGGTGACCTGAGGGTGTGTTCCAACTATAGGGGGATCACACTCCTCAGCCTCCCTGGAAAGGTCTACGCCAAGGTACTGGAGAGGAGGGTCCGATCGATAGTTGAATCTCAGATAGAGGAGGAGCAATGTGGTTTTCGTCCTGGCCGTGGAACTGTGGACCAGCTCTATACCCTTGCAAGGGTGATGGAGGGGGCATGGGAGTTTGCCCAACCAATCCACATGTGCTTTGTGGATTTGGAGAAGGCTTATGACCGTGTCCCCAGGGGCACCCTGTGGGGGACGCTGCAGGAGTATGGGGTGGGTGGCTTTCTGTTAAGGGCCATTCAGTCCCTTTACCAGAGGAGCGTGAGTTTGGTCCGCATAGCCGGTAGAAAGTCGGACCTGTTCCCAGTGAGGGTTGGACTCCGCCAGGGCTGCCCTTTGTCACCGGTTCTGTTCATCACTTTTATGGACAGAATTTCTAGACGCAGCCGTGGTGTGGAGTGTGTCGAGTTTGGTGGCAGGAGAATCTCGTCTCTGCTTTTTGCGGATGATGTGGTCCTCCTAGCTTCATCCAGCTCTGACCTTCAGCTCTTGCTGGGTAGGTTCGCGGCCGAATGTGAAGCGGCTGGGATGAGGATCAGCACCTCCAAATCTGAGACCAGGTTCTCGACCGGAAAAGGGTGGCTTGCCACCTCCGGGTCGGGGGAGAGGTCCTACCTCAAGTGGAGGAGTTTAAGTATCTCGGGGTCTTGTTCACGAGTGAGGGTAGGAGGGATCGGGAGATCGACAGGCAGATTGGTTCGGCGTCTGCAGTGATGCGGACGCTGAGCCGATCTGTCGTGGGGAAGAGGGAGCTGAGCCAGGCTCTCGATTTACCGGTCGATCTACGTCCCAATCCTCACCTATGGTCATGAGCTTTGGGTAATGACCGAAAGAACGAGATCGCAGATACAAGCGGCCGAAATGAGTTTCCTCCGTAGGGTGGCCGGGCTCAGCCTTAGAGATAGGGTGAGGAGCTCGGACATTCGGGAGGGACTCGGAGTAGAACCGCTGCTCCTCCGGATCGAAAGGAGCCAGTTGAGGTGGTTTGGGCATCTGGTCAGGATGCCTCCTGGACGCCTCCCCGGGGAGGTGTTTCGGGCATGTCCTGCCGGCAGAAGGCCCCCGGGTCGACCCAGGACACGTTGGAGAGGTTACATCTCCAATCTGGTCCGGGAACGCCTTGGGGTCCTGCCGGAGGAGCTGGTGGACAAGGCCGAGGAGAGGACGGCCTGGAGCTCCCTAGTTGGGATGCTGCCCCCGCGACCCGGACCCGGATAAGCGGAGGAAGACGAAGACGAAGAAGAAGTTTGATTGAATCCAGTCACTGACTTGTTCCAAACAGTGATGGTGAGTCTAGAGGACCACAGTCACTAGGTGACAGAGCTAGGTAGATCTAGGTGTCGTCTGCACATCTATGTTGTTTATGACCTGACCCGGGGAAGCATGTAGAGATTGAAGAGCAGAGGTCCAAGAATTGAGCCTTGGGGGACCCCACATGTCATGGTGATCAGCTTTGATTTGTGATCACCAATAGAAACAACATAACCTCTTTCTTAAAGATAAGATTAGAACCAACTATGAACTGTGCCTCAAAGCCGCACCCAGGTTACGAGTCTATCAATAAGGATGTTGTGATCCAGCGTATCAAAAGCTGCACTGAGATTGAGCATCATCAGGACAGGTGTTGTGCATGAATCTGTAGACTAATATTATTCAATAATTTAATAAGTGCAGTCTCCGTGCTGTGGTGGTGTCTAATGCCTGACTGAAAACTATCTAGCAGGTTGTTTTGTCTCCAGAAAGTTGTTCAGCTGGATCATGACAGCTTGTTCGATCATTCTTCCAATAAAAGCGAGATTGGTCTGTAATTATTCAACACTAAGGGATCTAATTTCCTTTTCTTTAGAAGAGGCCTAACAGCAGCAGTTTTCAATGATTCAGGAAAATTACTTAACATTAAGCATTAGCTTTTCAAACTGCTAAAAACAGTTTTGAAGCAGCTGGTTGGCAGGGTGTCCAGACCGCAAGTACATGAGTTTAAACCATGTTCTTCAGTGTTTTAGCACTAATCACACTGATGGCTGGCATTCTAGCCAGGTTGTTGCTGTGGCTGTAGGAGTGGTCTGCTTGTGTTGGTCGACGTGGAAAAATAAATGGTTGATCTGATGTTTATGATTTTCTCTTTGAAAAAGGATGCAAACTCATTAGACTTGGTTTGGGAAATGAAATCAGGGTTTAACTGTGTTGGGAGGTTCGTTAACCTCTCAATGGTAGCAAACCGAAAACGGGAGTTTATATCATCACGAATGACTTTGGAGAAAAGGGTTCGTCTCGTCTTCTGTGATTGAGAGTTGTGAGAGCGCAGCTGCATTTTGGAGGTTTCATAGTGATCTGGGAGGTTACTTTCTCTGAACTGATGCTCCGCTTTCCTCAGTTCTCTCTTCTGATTAACAGCTGATTTAGTGAACCTCCTTTGCCAGAGATAAGTTTGACCTTTTCAGGTACAATGGTGTCAACGACTTCAAGAGTTTTGCAGTTGAAGTGACTTAAAATTGAATCGGCACAGCTGGATTTTAGACTTGTTGGTGTATTGATACGTTCTATAGAACTGATGCACTGTGATCACCCAGATGCAACCGAGGTGTAATGTGTAGCAGGTGAACTGGACCTCTCAAACACAGAAAGGGTCAGCTAGGCCCACACCCTTAGCCATATTCATCGCATCTACATCTTTAGTTATGAATACGACGAGCGTCCGTCCCAGATTGTGTGTTTGATTACGGACATTTTGTTGAAGATCAAATAATTCAAGCACCTCAAGGGCTGAGTGTGTAACTGCGACTGTAGATTGATAGCATACCTTATTATTTTACATCGGACATTAAATATGAAACATTTTATTCAAAGCTGGAGATTTTTAAATGTCAGAATTTTATTAAAGCGATGTCTAATTATTTAATTATTTAAGCTTACGCTATTACATCCAACTATACAATAATTGATCAAAGTCTTGTTCCATCTTACCTTACTGGCCGCACTCAGTTCATCCAGTTAAAATCCTTTACCTCAGAACCCTCCCCAGTCAAGTCAGGTGTGCCCCAGGGCTCTGTCCTGGGGCCCCTCCTCTTCATAGTATATCTCCTCCCTATCGGCAAAATCTTCCGCAAATTCAATATCCAGTTTCACTGCTTTGCAGATGACACCCAGCTCTACATTTCCAGTAAGCCCAACTCAACTCTCCCACCATCCTCCCTTACACTCTGCCTCTCTGAAATCAAATCATGGTTCACCTCTAATTTCCTCAAACTCAACGGCAATAAAACTGAACTTCTTCTAGTTGGCACTAACTCCACCCTCTCAACATCTGACAGCTTTTCTTTAACTATTGACAGCGCCACAGTCTCCCCCTCACCTCATGTCAAGAGTCTGGGTGTCATTCTCGACAGCTCCCTTTCTTTTCAGGCTCACATTAATAACTTAATTCGGTCAGCATACTTCCATCTACGTTCCATAAACCGTCTTCGTCCCTCACTGACCCCTCACACTGCCGCCATTCTCGTCCACAGCCTCGTCACCTCCCGTCTCGACTATTGCAATTCACTTCTTTATGGTCTCCCCAACAAACTCCTTCATAAACTGCAACTGGTCCAGAATTCAGCAGCCCGTATTATCACCAGAACCCCTTCCTTTCACCACATCACGCCGGTTCTCCAACAGCTCCACTGGCTCCCAGTTAAATTCAGGCCCATCTTCAAAATTCTCCTCCATACCTTCAAAGCAATCCACAACCTCTCTCCTCCATATATCTCAGACCTTATAAGTATTCACACCCCGTCCCGTTCACTCAGATCTTCTTCTTCCATCCATCTTGCGGTTCCTTCTGCCCGTCTCGCTACCATGGGGAGCAGAGCTTTCAGCCGCTCTGCTCCTCGACTCTGGAACTCACTTCCCCCAGACATCAGGAACATCGACAGTTTTACCCTTTTCCAATCAAAACTCAAAACACATATGTTTAAATCTGCCTACAACCTCTGATTTTATTGAAATGTTTCTCTCTGTTTTTTCTTCTTTGGGTTTTATTATTGTTTTATTGTATTTTATTACGTGTTTTGTGTAAAGTGACCTTGGGTGTTCTGAAAGGCGCTTTGAAATAAAATGTATTATTATTATTATTATTATCTAACTGTAAAGTAACACAAAAACAATGATTTCATACATTCACACATAATGTTACTTTAGTAAAACACATCTTTAGATCAACCGCACTACATCACCATGATGGACCAGAAACACAGTGGTGGTACTGTGGCAGGGTCGTAATCCTGCTTTCAACAAGTAGAACGGAGAAGCAGGAAGTGTGTTACTTTAAAACATGTATAATGTAATGTGTGTATGAATGATGATATTTGAATTATTTAAAATTGTTTTCCTCTGTTTAAATAAATGTGTCCTAATGGACGGATGAGGTAATGGCTTAGGTTTAAAAAAACATTACTGCAATCTCTAAAGGGGTACGTTGCAGTGTGGCTTGCTTTTAGCACCTCCTTAGTGAAACTTATCCCCTCACTGTGTGTTCATCTTTTAATACCATAATAACTGCTGAAATGTCTTCTCAGCCTTCATTAGTTTCTACAGGAGCTCCACTCAGCATAAGGTAGGGCATGTTCACATCTGCATAGCCTGGATTTTTTTCTGCATTTTTCAGTCCTCTCTCCAAGGCGGTCTGCTTCAGGCTGAACTGGTCCAACACACCCACTTTTGACTGATTGGCCAGCTCTAATTCACGCCTCCCATTAGGGGGATGATCAGATTAGCAGATGGAATCAGCCAGGGGGGCTTCCAGCACGCGCAGCTCGTTATCATGCTGGGTACTGTGACGTAAACAACACCTCTGAGTGAAGCCGTCTGTTTCTGCGTCTCTCTCTGAGGAGCACTCACACACAGACCATGCTGCTCCACTTTAGCTGCGCCAGGACAGACACAGCAGAGCAGGACGGCTCCAAAAGCAGCACTGCTTACGGCCGCCTTTGGTTAATTTTAGGGAGACACTGCAGACTCCTCCATGTGCCCTGCCCACATGCTTGTGCCAATCTTGGAGACCAACCATTTGCTCAGCTACATCTGCATTCCTAAGAATGTGTGTAATCAACCTGCCCAGGCAGGGGTAGGCTGGGGCTGGCTGCGCTGAGTGGAGCCAGCCTAAGAGGCTTCAGTCCAACAGGGACCGGTCCGCTACACAGAAGTTGCAAGTGTGGTATTCTGACCACAGGGGGCAGTGGGGTCTGAGTCACATGACATGTCGAGGGTTATTTTAGCACACACCTACTCGAGAAATGTTTAAAAATATGAAGACGTTGTGTAGTATGGCTTAAATCAGCTCTAGTGTTGAAAACATCATTTGAGTGTTTGTAAAATTCAACACCAGTCGGCCATTTTACCATTAAACTGAGTTTCATCGTTATTTACAAGTTTAATATCATTGGCTGCAAAATGCTGCTCCTCTGTTATATCCAGGAATCGTGTGTGTGTGTGTGTGTGTGTGTGTGTGTGTGTGTGTGTGTGTGTGTGTGTGTGTGTGTGTGTGTGTGTGTGTGTGTGTGTGTGTGTGTGTGTGTGTGTGTGTGTGTGTGTGTGTGTGTGTGTGTGTGTGTGTGTGTGTGTGTGTGTGTGTGTGTGTGTGTGTGTGTGTGTGTGTGTGTGTGTGTGTGTGTGTGTGTGTGTGTGTGTGTGTGTGTGTGTGTGATGGCTGTTTAAAGGGAACAGCTTTATACGTTTGACTGCTTTCAGTCTAGCCCTTAGCTCATCATCTTTTAAGACATAAGTGTCATTTGTCCTGCAGTATGTGATGTACTACAGGTAAGATGCTATTATTTATAGCTTTTGCACAAAAACACAAATAGAAAAAATAAATTTAAGATGAAATCACATGAACCTTTTATGCAACCCAAATAAAACGTTGTTGATGTGTGATTCAGAAACTAGCAAACATAGCCAAATTAAAAATGGCCATTGGCAAAAATGTTATATTTCCATCTTTTACTTTTGGCTTTTTAAAATAAAAAATATCTTTGTAAAATAAAACTTATTACATTTTCTCTAATGTGAAGAATTTTGAGTTTCAGCTACAAGAGAGCAGATTATCAACTTTAGCTATGCAGCAGCAGCATTCCTTTCTCTTTTATTTTAATCAACCTCGCGCTTTAGTATTTTTTTATGCAAATGTGTGAAAGGATGGGGCTTAATGACTCAAACTACAATCCTTTGGTAATATGAAGAAGAGGGTCCCGTTGGCCTTAAGTGTGTTTGCAGGCTTTTATTCAACACAGTTAAAAATGCACCTGGAGCTTGTGGTGATCAGGTTTGTGTCAGACGAGCTGTCACCGCTCGGTGTTCTCTCTGAACGTAAAACAGACTTCATGTGGGGCAAAAGCACGTTTCCTGCAGAAATCTGAGTCAACAGTTTTTGTGCGGAGTTGGAAACGCTCCGTTTGGTTGTGATCTGGAGCAGCGTTCGTGTTCTGCTGCTTCTGTTTGTTTTAAAACCAGTCAAACAGCTGGATGTGTGTTTTGCATCACTCACCCAGCTGTGGCCGTAACTGACCTGAAAGTTTCAGAGTCCAGCACAGGCACACAGCTTTATATGTGAATTGTCGGTTTTAATTTATTTGTTGAAATTTCACATGCAAAATATTTCTTTGTGTTTTTTTTTACCTTCCTTTTCCAGAGACACTTTTTTAGGAACCTGGGCTCCATAATAACCTACGCCTTTCTTGGCACAGCCATCTCCTGCTTTTTTATTGGGCAAGTCTCTTTTCTGTTCATCAGATTTTCATTTAAAATCCATGAATGCAAAATCTCATTTGACCTTAGATTATGTGTTGTTTCCTCAGGAATCTGATGTACGGTGTGGTGAAGCTGATGCAGGTGGTCGGACAGCTGACGGACAAGTTCTACTACACAGACTGTCTGTTTTTTGGTGCCATCATCTCCGCCACAGACCCAGGTACAAATCACAGGAAACGGTTTGTTGCTGTGAGTTTTCTTTAGGATGAATTCATCTATTTTCCTGTGTGCACAGTGACCGTGCTGGCCATCTTTAACGAGCTCCATGCTGATGGAGATCTCTACGCTCTGCTGTTTGGAGAGAGTGTTATGAATGACGCCGTGGCCATTGTGCTTTCCTCGTGAGTCTCACTTCTGCTTTATCCAGCTGGGGAATGAGAATAAGCAGATTTGGGCTAAAGCTCCATTACTTCATGTTACTCAACACTTCATAATTTAGTTCGCAGCTGCTTTGCAAATCAAGACATTTGCATGAACATTTTGACTTTTAATGTCTTTTCAAACAACAGTTTACAGTTTAAAGTGATTATAAACACTTTGAGAGTTAGTTTTGTGGGTTGAACAGAAGGTCACGGGGGTGAGAACTGTTTCACTGATCTTTTGTATTTTGCATTTACTTCATTACATTTACGTTGTTGGACCATTCGTTTGCTCTTCGAGTCGTGACCTCGGTCCTTTCTCTCCATTTTCTATCTTTCCAGTCCAAGGCTAGAACACTTTGACCTTTCCACAATCAGACTACATACAGCAACACCCGTGGTTTTCCCAGCTGGTGCTTGTAGGATAGCATTTGTCACTCACACATCCCTTGTCTTGACACACCGCTCTAAGATTATGTCAGCTGAAGCTCTCGTTACTTTCTGGAGGCGATCCAGGGAGTCCAGGCCTGTTTTATACTCTCTGCTTTTTATACATGAATCAAGTTCAAGGTGAATTGCTGTCTCGTCATTGTTTATGGAAGTAATGCTGTGCTCCCAGCCGGGGGTCCGACCCAGGCTGCATCCAGGTCATGCACCAAAAACCAGCAGCATGCACTTCAGTGCATCGTCATGGAATATAATCACAGCCAGGTAAAGGTGCAGAGGCAATCGGGGCTTTTCGGTTATGGCCCTGACTTGCCATCACTGCAGGGTTTAAAGACTCCTGAAGACTCACTTTGATCATTTGGCTTTTATGAAATTTTATTTTGTTTTTAATAATTTCTAATTGGTTAGTTATTTGTTTGTTCTTTTGCATATTTACGGTACTTTATGTACAGCGCCTTGGGCTCCCACAAAGGCAGTGGAGGGCACTAATACATATGAAATTATTGATCTAATGGTTTAACCACCTTTTTTAGAACTTCACCGGCAGTTTTGAAGCCACGTTTACTTCAGTTCATTCTGCTGCATCAGATGAAAGTTCCTGCCTGTGTGGTTTTCACATCCTTGTTGAATTTAATAACGTGTGTGTCATAAAGCACCACTTCCACCTCTGCTGCTCTTCACAAACACATCTCTGCTGCCCCCTGCTGGAAAAATACAAAACAACTACTTCATCTTTTATTGCTTTCACCTCAAAAAGACGTTATTTTCACATATAAAGTTTTACGTTATTTTCACATATAAAGTTTTGACGTTATTTTCACATATAAAGTTTTAACGTTATTTTCACATATAAAGTTTTAACGTTATTTTCACATATAAAGTTTTGACGTTATTTTCACATATAAAGTTTTACGTTAATTTCACATGTAAAGTTTTAACGTTATTTTCACATGTAAAGTTTTAACGTTATTTTCACATATAAAGTTTTAACGTTATTTTCACATATAAAGTTTTAACGTTATTTTCACATATAAAGTTTTAACGTTATTTTCACATATAAAGTTTTAACGTTATTTTCACATATAAAGTTTTAACGTTATTTTCACATATAAAGTTTTAACGTTATTTTCACATATAAAGTTTTAACGTTATTTTCACATGTAAAGTTTTACGTTAATTTCACATATAAAGTTTTAACGTTATTTTCACATATAAAGTTTTAACGTTATTTTCACATATAAAGTTTTAACGTTATTTTCACATATAAAGTTTTAACGTTATTTTCACATGTAAAGTTTTAACGTTATTTTCACATGTAAAGTTTTAACGTTATTTTCACATATAAAGTTTTGACGTTATTTTCACATATAAAGTTTTAACGTTATTTTCACATATAAAGTTTTAACGTTATTTTCACATATAAAGTTTTAACGTTATTTTCACATATAAAGTTTTACGTTATTTTCACATATAAAGTTTTGACGTTATTTTCACATATAAAGTTTTAACGTTATTTTCACATATAAAGTTTTAACGTTATTTTCACATATAAAGTTTTGACGTTATTTTCACATATAAAGTTTTAACGTTATTTTCACATATAAAGTTTTAACGTTATTTTCACATATAAAGTTTTAACGTTATTTTCACATATAAAGTTTTAACGTTATTTTCACATATAAAGTTTTACGTTAATTTCACATATAAAGTTTTGACGTTATTTTCACATATAAAGTTTTAACGTTATTTTCACATATAAAGTTTTAACGTTATTTTCACATATAAAGTTTTAACGTTATTTTCACATATAAAGTTTTAACGTTATTTTCACATATAAAGTTTTACGTTATTTTCACATATAAAGTTTTGACGTTATTTTCACATATAAAGTTTTGACGTTATTTTCACATATAAAGTTTTAACGTTATTTTCACATATAAAGTTTTAACGTTATTTTCACATATAAAGTTTTAACGTTATTTTCACATATAAAGTTTTAACGTTATTTTCACATATAAAGTTTTACGTTATTTTCACATATAAAGTTTTGACGTTATTTTCACATATAAAGTTTTGACGTTATTTTCACATATAAAGTTTTGACGTTATTTTCACATATAAAGTTTTAACGTTATTTTCACATATAAAGTTTTAACGTTATTTTCACATATAAAGTTTTAACGTTATTTTCACATATAAAGTTTTAACGTTATTTTCACATATAAAGTTTTACGTTATTTTCACATATAAAGTTTTACGTTATTTTCACATATAAAGTTTTACGTTATTTTCACATATAAAGTTTTGACGTTATTTTCACATATAAAGTTTTGACGTTATTTTCACATATAAAGTTTTGACGTTATTTTCACATATAAAGTTTTAACGTTATTTTCACATATAAAGTTTTAACGTTATTTTCACATAAAGTTTTACGTTATTTTCACATATAAAGTTTTAACGTTATTTTCACATATAAAGTTTTAACGTTATTTTCACATATAAAGTTTTAACGTTATTTTCACATATAAAGTTTTACGTTATTTTCACATATAAAGTTTTGACGTTATTTTCACATATAAAGTTTTGACGTTATTTTCACATATAAAGTTTTAACGTTATTTTCACATATAAAGTTTTAACGTTATTTTCACATATAAAGTTTTACGTTATTTTCACATGTAAAGTTTTACGTTATTTTCACATGTAAAGTTTTAACGTTAATTTCACATGTAAAGTTTTAACGTTATTTTCACATGTAAAGTTTTAACGTTATTTTCACATGTAAAGTTTTAACGTTATTTTCACATGTAAAGTTTTAACGTTATTTTCACATGTAAAGTTTTAACGTTATTTTCACATGTAAAGTTTTAACGTTATTTTCACATGTAAAGTTTTAACGTTATTTTCACATGTAAAGTTTTAACGTTATTTTCACATGTAAAGTTTTAACGTTATTTTCACATGTAAAGTTTTAACGTTATTTTCACATGTAAAGTTTTAACGTTATTTTCACATGTAAAGTTTTAACGTTATTTTCACATATAAAGTTTTAACGTTATTTTCACATATAAAGTTTTACGTTATTTTCACATATAAAGTTTTACGTTATTTTCACATATAAAGTTTTACGTTATTTTCACATATAAAGTTTTACGTTATTTTCACATATAAAGTTTTAACGTTATTTTCACATATAAAGTTTTAACGTTATTTTCACATATAAAGTTTTAACGTTATTTTCACATATAAAGTTTTAACGTTATTTTCACATATAAAGTTTTAAACGTTATTTTCACATATAAAGTTTTAACGTTATTTTCACATGTAAAGTTTTAACGTTATTTTCACATGTAAAGTTTTAACGTTATTTTCACATGTAAAGTTTTAACGTTATTTTCACATGTAAAGTTTTAACGTTATTTTCACATATAAAGTTTTAACGTTATTTTCACATATAAAGTTTTAACGTTATTTTCACATGTAAAGTTTTAACGTTATTTTCACATGTAAAGTTTTAACGTTATTTTCACATGTAAAGTTTTAACGTTATTTTCACATATAAAGTTTTAACGTTATTTTCACATATAAAGTTTTACGTTATTTTCACATATAAAGTTTTACGTTATTTTCACATATAAAGTTTTACGTTATTTTCACATATAAAGTTTTACGTTATTTTCACATATAAAGTTTTAACGTTATTTTCACATATAAAGTTTTACGTTATTTTCACATATAAAGTTTTACGTTATTTTCACATATAAAGTTTTACGTTATTTTCACATATAAAGTTTTACGTTACTTTCACATATAAAGTTTTAACGTTATTTTCACATATAAAGTTTTAACGTTATTTTCACATATAAAGTTTTAACGTTATTTTCACATATAAAGTTTTAACGTTATTTTCACATGTAAAGTTTTAACGTTATTTTCACATGTAAAGTTTTAACGTTATTTTCACATGTAAAGTTTTAACGTTATTTTCACATGTAAAGTTTTAACGTTATTTTCACATGTAAAGTTTTAACGTTATTTTCACATGTAAAGTTTTAACGTTATTTTCACATATAAAGTTTTAACGTTATTTTCACATATAAAGTTTTGACGTTATTTTCACATATAAAGTTTTAACGTTATTTTCACATATAAAGTTTTAACGTTATTTTCACATATAAAGTTTTAACGTTATTTTCACATATAAAGTTTTACGTTATTTTCACATATAAAGTTTTAACGTTATTTTCACATATAAAGTTTTAACGTTATTTTCACATATAAAGTTTTAACGTTATTTTCACATATAAAGTTTTACGTTATTTTCACATATAAAGTTTTAACGTTATTTTCACATATAAAGTTTTAACGTTATTTTCACATATAAAGTTTTGACGTTATTTTCACATATAAAGTTTTGACGTTATTTTCACATATAAAGTTTTGACGTTATTTTCACATATAAAGTTTTACGTTATTTTCACATATAAAGTTTTGACGTTATTTTCACATATAAAGTTTTAACGTTATTTTCACATATAAAGTTTTAACGTTATTTTCACATATAAAGTTTTACGTTATTTTCACATATAAAGTTTTACGTTATTTTCACATATAAAGTTTTAACGTTATTTTCACATATAAAGTTTTAACGTTATTTTCACATATAAAGTTTTAACGTTATTTTCACATATAAAGTTTTACGTTATTTTCACATATAAAGTTTTAACGTTATTTTCACATATAAAGTTTTGACGTTATTTTCACATATAAAGTTTTAACGTTATTTTCACATATAAAGTTTTACGTTATTTTCACATATAAAGTTTTGACGTTATTTTCACATATAAAGTTTTGACGTTATTTTCACATATAAAGTTTTAACGTTATTTTCACATGTAAAGTTTTACGTTATTTTCACATGTAAAGTTTTACGTTATTTTCACATGTAAAGTTTTAACGTTAATTTCACATGTAAAGTTTTAACGTTAATTTCACATGTAAAGTTTTAACGTTATTTTCACATGTAAAGTTTTAACGTTATTTTCACATGTAAAGTTTTAACGTTATTTTCACATGTAAAGTTTTAACGTTATTTTCACATGTAAAGTTTTAACGTTATTTTCACATGTAAAGTTTTAACGTTATTTTCACATGTAAAGTTTTAACGTTATTTTCACATGTAAAGTTTTAACGTTATTTTCACATGTAAAGTTTTAACGTTATTTTCACATGTAAAGTTTTAACGTTATTTTCACATGTAAAGTTTTAACGTTATTTTCACATATAAAGTTTTAACGTTATTTTCACATATAAAGTTTTACGTTATTTTCACATATAAAGTTTTACGTTATTTTCACATATAAAGTTTTACGTTATTTTCACATATAAAGTTTTACGTTATTTTCACATATAAAGTTTTAACGTTATTTTCACATATAAAGTTTTAACGTTATTTTCACATATAAAGTTTTAACGTTATTTTCACATATAAAGTTTTAACGTTATTTTCACATATAAAGTTTTAAACGTTATTTTCACATATAAAGTTTTAACGTTATTTTCACATATAAAGTTTTAACGTTATTTTCACATATAAAGTTTTAACGTTATTTTCACATATAAAGTTTTAACGTTATTTTCACATATAAAGTTTTAAACGTTATTTTCACATATAAAGTTTTAACGTTATTTTCACATATAAAGTTTTAACGTTATTTTCACATATAAAGTTTAAATTCAGTCACCATGATGATAATTGTGTCTACATGCTATCGTGGTGAACACACTGTTCACGCGTGTCCTTGTGTTTTTAGGTCTATTGTGGCCTACCAGCCCTCTGGTGCAAACACACACAAGTTTGATGCCTCCGCCTTTTTCAAGTCTGTGGGGGTCTTCCTGGGTATTTTCAGCGGCTCCTTCCTGATGGGTGCCGCTACAGGATTCGTCACCGCTCTCATATCCTTCTCTGCACGCACCATCTGATGTTTAACCGCGCGCTGCTCTGATTATCCTGCATTTCTCTTTTGTGGTTAATGAATGTTTAAAATAATGTTGTTCTTTAACTTTGCTCCACGTCACCAAGTTTACTAAGCTGCATTGCTTCCCTCTGCTGGAGACGGCTCTCTTCTTCCTCATGTCCTGGAGCACCTTCCTGCTTGCTGAGGCCTGCGGGTTCACAGGTCCGGTTATTAAACTGTAATTGATAGTATTAGATTGCTGATATTTCATTGTGAACATCAAAAACATTTGCATTCTCGTTTTTGTGTAAAAAGTGAATCTGTGTGAAAGTTGTTTTATGGATAAAAATACGACCAGTTCCTTCATTCCCTTCTTGGAAAACTTCTATAACTGTTGGCATTTTACACACCTGTAACAAGCGGCAGCAGCTCATACGGTAGACGCTCATTTCATGAAAGAGTTGATGTTTCTGGGTGAATTGTGCCATCGTGTGTATTTTTATCAGTTTTCCTCTGTGATGCAGCGAGTCTGAAGCCCCTGACCGTGTTTCTGTTGCCCTACAGGTGTCGTGGCTGTGCTGTTCTGTGGGATTACACAGGCTCACTACACCTTCAACAACCTCTCAGAGGAGTCCACAAAGCGCACCAAGCAGGTAGTGCACCCCCCTCCTGCCGGCCTGTTCACTCTGAACCCCCCGATTGGATGAACCGGGCGCTGGTGCCAGATGGCGGTGCGATCAGCCTGCTGTGACCTTAATCGGGGCCGTCTGAGGACATGAGCGCTCCGTTTCCCAGAGGGGGTTCAGTCTTGACGACAGGCTGCAGATTAGCACGTAGACAACGTGCCACGTGCCACAGACGAGCTCTTGTTGGTTTCCAAGGACCACTCTCATGGTTGACGCACTCACCTTTAGACTAAAACAACAAATAATCTCATTCTTCCCTGTTTTTATTCTCTTTGTCATGTTCTCCCCTTTAAAGCTCCTTGTCTTCTCGTGGTGTGTTTGTCATTTTTAAAGCACAGACTAAAATAATATTTCCTCCACAGCTCTTTGAGGTTCTTCACTTCCTGGCTGAGAATTTCATCTTTTCTTACATGGGCCTCGCACTTTTTACCTTCCAGAACCACATATTCAGCCCCATCTTCATCATCGGAGCCTTCGTATCCTTTCTGTCTCCCGAGGAGGACACACACACACACACACACACACACACACACACACACACACACACACACACACACACACACACACACACACACACACACACACACACACACACACACACACACACACACACAGAGACACAGACACACAGACACACACACAGACACAGAGACAGAGACACAGACACAGACACACACACACAGACACAGCCACACACACACAGACACACACACACACACACACACACACACACACACACACACAGACGTTCTCGAGTCATGGGGAACTTTACGACCGTTCCGAGTTTGTTACACAGCTTTGACCGACCCGTTAGGTGGCCATATTCATCGGTAGAGCGCTCAACATTTACCCACTCTCCTTTCTTCTCAACCTCGGCCGAAGAGACAAGATCAGAGGGAACTTTCAGCACATGATGATGTTTGCAGGTGATGAAAGATGGCAGTTTTACTGCTTCAGGCCAAGAGCCTGGTGATCTATAATGCTTTTCTATCTGCAGGGCTGCGCGGGGCGATGGCGTTTGCCTTGGCGATACGGGACACCGCTACCTACGCTCGCCAGATGATGTTCACCACCACTCTCCTCATCGTCTTTTTTACTGTTTGGGTCTTTGGCGGGGGAACCACGCCCATGCTGTCCTGGCTACACATCAGGTGACAAAACCGTTTTGACCCTGAAGGGAGAAAAATCCGTAGGATTGAGATTTATTTATAGCTCAGAGATTCAGACATGAGTCATAGATGTAAGATAATTAAATCCGCCGTAGTTTTAAATCATCTTTAACCTGGAAAAACAAACAAACTAAGCCTGATGTTACAAAAGGTGCTTCCTTTAAACCCTGTGACTCTTTCCTGAGGAGGACTAATATTAGTAATAATAATAATAATAATAACTAAATAAAGTTAAAGTCCCATTCATCACATACTGGTGAAATTACAAATCCACATTCTAGCCACCCTCATGGCGAGCGGTGAGCTGCAGCAGTGGCTGTGCTCGGGAACTGTTTGGTGGTTTAAGAGTTGGACCTTGCCGAGGCTGCCCTCTGTTAGCCAGGCCCTTGCCTTCTTCTGGGAAGCATCGGGGCTGGGAACGCTCCTATTCAAATAACCCCGCCCCCTGAAATTTCTAACTGAGCCAATCAGCTCTGAGCAGCATGCGTCACATGCCGAAACGCTCAGTTTCTCATAAGCAACAAAGACTGCATCTGAAGCGGCGTTTGCTGCGGCTCTTTCCTCTTCTAAATGACTTGGACACGTCTTCAAAACAACAAGTAGAAGCATTAAAAGTCTTAAAGCAGATGTTTGCGCTGTCGCCAGACGCCATGTTTGTCTGCAGCACTGTGTGAGCCGGCTAGTCCCACCCCTCATGTGCCTCTCTACCTGTGAGTAACCAGACCACTTGTGTGTGGACAGAGGGCGAGTCTGGGAGGCGGTGTTTAAGGTGCTTAATCAGGTCTCTGCATTTTGCAGATGATGTGGTCCTGTTGGCTTCACCAGAACATGATCTCCAGCTTACGCTGGAGCGGTTCTAACGGAGTGTGAAGCAGCTGGGATGAGAATCGGCTCCCCAAAATCAGAGACCATGGTCTCGAGACGGAAAAGGGTAGAATGCCTTCCCCAGGTCAGGGATGAGGTCCTGCCCAAAGTGGAGTTCAAGTCTCTTGTTCACTACGAGTGAGGGGAAGCTGGAGTGCGAGATCGATGGGCGGATTGGTGCTGCATCTGCAGTGATGCGGGCGTTGGACCGATCTGTCCTGGTGAAGAGAGCTGAGCTCTCGATTTACCGGTCAGTCTACGTTCCTACCCTAACCTACGGTCACGAGCTTTGGGTAGTGACCAAAAAAAATCAAGGTCACGGATACAAGCAGCCAAATTTAGTTTTCTCATCAGGGTGGCTGGGCTCTCCCTTCGAGATGGGGCGAGAAACGTGGTCATCTGGGAGGAGCTCGGAGTAGACCCCGCTGCTCCTCCACTTTGAGAGGAGCCACTTGAGGTGGTTATGCCTCCTGGACGCCTCCCTGGTGAGGTTTTCCGGGCACGTCCAGCCAGGAGGAGACCTTAAGGTAGACCCAGGACACGCTGGAGGGACTATGTCTCTAATGGCCAGGGAACATCTTGGGATTCCCCCGGAAGAGCTGGCCCAAGAGGCTGGGAAGAGGGAGGTCTGGGCCTCAGGCTGCCGCCCCCGCGAGCACAGCCCAGTTTGAGTGATGTGACGTTCGTGAAGAAATCTAATCTTTTAAAAAGGTTTTCAAAGTGAACGACGAGAGCCGAGTCCTTGTGGAAACCTTTCCTCTGGTCTTCCAGTAGCACCACGACCTGTCATGGACACCAGCAGAATGCTTCCCCCCCTCTGCACTCACGGATTTCGGAGGGACATTTCTCCCCCACCCCGCTTTCCCGGCTCCGCTCTATTCAAACGAACCAGTCTCTGAACGGCTTTTGAGTTAAGCGACCGACTAACGAACGCTCCCTTCCCGTCACTAATCAGTTCTCAGTGACGACCTCTAAAGCAGCTTCAAATGATTCTGAACTGAAATAAAATATAAATATATATATATATATATATATATATAATGAGAACTGCCTGTAAAAACACACATTTAAATGGGTTTCTGAACCAGAATCATCATCCAGTTGGTTCAGTCCATTAAGGCTGGATTCCTTTTCTGAAACGGTTTCAAAATGCTCGTTTTGTGTAAATGAGTTTTGATTTGGAGAGGCATCGAATAATTGTGAGTTAAAAAATGCCTTAATGTGTTTTAGGTTTCTTTCCCGTCGTATTAAAGTACATTTTTGATGTAAATTTTAAAATTAGTGAAGGAAAACCACTTTATTTCTGCCAGTTACTCTTCATTCCAAATATACTGGTGGGCTGCCAGGAGGTGGGGCCAGAGTCCTCTGCTGCTGCTGGGAGAACTGGTCTTCTGTTAAACAAACTTGTCATTATGCTGCTGAACTAAATCATTGACTCTGAAACCCCTGACACATGACCGATTATATATCTGAGCAGTCTGACCAGCTCTGTTTAACGTGAGGGGTACCTCCTCAGACCGGGCAGAACCACTGCTGGTAAAGGTTTAGAGCTCTGCCAAGGCCTCCCCATCAATCCAACGCCATGGTTACCGTAACGTTTGGCGTGGCATCCAAATGTCAGCTGCTGTCCGCGATCTTTGCACCGCTGAATAAAAATGCACGCACATATATTTATGGCCACACTCAAACACCGGGTTTTTACAGAAATGGTTCCCTGCTCTGTTTCTTACCGAGCGGGACGTCATTAGAAACTTTTTAGAAACCGAATACTGCAGCTGTGAGGACCATAAAGTATTTATAGATGTAAAATTATGAAAAAAAAAATTTGTTTGGAGGAAGGATGTCAGGAATATCTAAAAAAATGTTGTAAATATAACTTGTTTTAATTTAATTCTAATATTACCTTCTCAGTGGCCTGGTGATGGTCTCCGCCCTGGAACTGGGAGGTCAGGGTTCAAGTCCAAGTGGGACCAAAGACTTTAATACTGGGACCCAATTCCTCCCTGCTTGACACTGTGCTTTAAGGGGTTGGATTGGGGGGGTTAAACCACCAGACATTTCCTGAGTGTAGCCGCTGCTGCAGCTCACCGCTCCCTGCGGGGGTGGGTCACATGTGGAGATGTCACCCGTGTGTGATGATGAGTAATGGAACTTTAACTTTAATAAGCTTCATGCTTCACAATTAGTTTGAAAATCAAACTCATATTCTCAAAAGCTGTAGTTGAAAATCTATATAAGTGTGTGTGTGTGTGTGTGTGTGTGTGTGTGTGTGTGTGTGTGTGTGTGTGTGTGTGTGTGTGTGGTGTGTGGTGTGTGGTGTGTGTGTGTGTGTGTGTGTGGTGTGTGGTGTGTGTGTGTGTGTTAAAAGGATCATTCCATGTCCCCAAACAGAACTATTTTCAGCCTACTCTGTTGCCAGTTTCCAGCCATAACCCCCATTCTAGACTCGTTTGAAGCATCCTCCGATGAAGGTGGTGTATCATGGAGAAATGTACCTTCTGTCCTGAGCTCAACAGGAAATTAACACCTAAAGACGTCTGATTTATAATCCATGCTTTATAATTTCATGGGATTTTGCACAACATCTTAATACATCATGTATGTGTTTATGATAGATTTGGAAACATCAAAAGATTTGAGGAAGAGCAATGTCGGCATGGAAAGTGGAATTATTCCAGGTGTCGTATGTGAATATGAACTCTACAGTGATTGGTGTGGGTCATCTGTCCTTCCGTCTCCTGCATCTGGCTGCTTTGTTCCTTCTTCTGGTGAAGGGCGAGCTGTGGGTACCTTCACCAACAGGCCTCAGAACAAACGCGTCCATGCGGAGGGATGGTGTTGTACACCAGCCAGGCTCAGGAGGTGTTGCTGCTTGACTACCGACCTCAACAGGATGCAGTAAAATGCTATTCTCCTATTAGCTTGTTGTGGTGTAAAAGTTAGTTCCTCTTTTTGAGTCTCAGCTGACTGGTTAGTGGGCTTTTCCACTAAAACTCTAGAAACCGTTTTATTTTTTATTTTTTAGTTGCTGAAGCTTGCGTGCACGTTTAGAATGTGTGAAAAGAGGAAAGTCATGTTCAGGAAGAACTTTAAATTTGAACCGTGTAAAGAATGTTGCCTCCACGCACCCTTCCCCCTTCCCCGATCACTGGAGGACCAACAGAACGGCTCGTGAGGGATGTTGGATGGAGTAAAAGGGAGGAGTGGAAGTTTTGAGCCTTAAAGATTAGAGGTTTTTGGGTGAGCTGAGATGGTGTATGTGTGTCTGTTTTTCCCCTCATGGAAAATGTGCTCCTTTTGGGGGGGGGGGGGCATCTAATTCTCTCAGATTTTTCCTGCTGCATTTGCATCACCATGCCTTCTGCAGGCGCTTTTGGCACCCCTTGCAAACTTCCACCCACTGAACCTGTTGGTGAGTTTTTAGGGGAACTCCTTTAAAGACAGACGTGCATTTGTTTCTTCGTTCGAGTTTAAAAGCAGAACCGCAGAGGTCAGTGACTCCTTGTACAGCGGAAGGATGCTTCTTCTGCACGACTGTTATAATCAGACGATGACGCATGTTGCAAGTTGGACCATGTCAAACATAGCTGAGCCCATATCTGTGACGGGTGATGCGTCTCTTCTGCCTTTATCAGTGGGGATTAAAGGCAGCTCATGTAAATATTTGAGGAAATATTTTTTTGTTAGTCAGAACTAAGAAGAGATTTCAGCCAAACTTTTCAGTAAATAAGCAGTAGGTCACGCGTTACAATAGCATTAGCTGCTGTTTCACTGAGCTCTGGAAAAAGAAAATCACACTAAAGTGACTCGTTTGTAGTTTTATGCTGAAATGTCAGGTTTTAACTGAAATAAGTGATGTAGTAAAGTTTGAGATGCTGGAAAGTGTTTTTATTTATTAAAAACCTAGAAAATGTTTCACCTAGTGGTGGAAACCAGTTTTAGCTGGAACTAGAGCAGCACTAGCTTCCCCTTTAAATACTAATGAGTTACTCTGACCCTGTTTTTAAGGTGCTTAGGTTCATTTTTATTAGTTTTTATGACCATATGCACGTTTGAAATGACTGAGCAAGCGAAGAGCTCAGCTTTTTGCATGAGTCAAAGGAATATTTTTGACCATTTTCTCTGTCTCTCAGTAAAAGCTATAAATAAATGCTGTCTTCGCCGTTGCAGACGGCTTCTTGAACAGTTTCGAGAGTTTACCACCAACAGGAGTGACGAGCTAATGGCTAGTCCAATCATAGTCGCGACTGAAGTGCATTGGTGTTGTCTTAAATGGCTCCAATCTCTGAAATTTCATGGCAGTTCATGAAATGTTGTTTTAAAAACAAACATTATTTAGCTTTTTGTTGTTTTCCGTCTCGTATCAAGAAGATCGTGTTGGGCTCCTGGATTCACAGTCCGCTATACTTCTCGCTGCAGCTGACGTTCATGTCATCGACTGCAGAATTCTGTGTACATAACAAATGGAGAATGGTGGTATAAAGGCATAACTAGAGCGAAGCTTGAAGCTTCGGTTCCACTGAAGGATCTAGGACGGGTCGTCATGGGTCAGGATGGGTTGGTACTTTCAGGAGAGCATTTTGATTGCCAGCTGGACTCTCTGGAGGCAGGCGGGGTTGAGCCTGAATACATGGCTATGGCTGATGGTGGCGAGGAATGTTTTGTAGTTCTGAAGCTAAACAAACCTTGCTAATGCTACTTGCTAGCTTCTTCTCACTTTTGTGTACAAATGATAGAAACAGCAACACCCTTGTGTGTGTTACACTTTCTGTAAGCAGTGACGTTTTTCAGTTCCCCAGTCTACGGACTGTGGTGTGTGCTGGCAGCTGCTCCGCCCCAGTTGTACCGCTCTGTTGTCCCACAGACCTGCAGCTGAAGAGGGACCATGACGGCTGCAGTCCGGGTCAGTTTTGTGGGCCGCTTTTACGACCAAAACTGAAAACTTTTGCTGTTTGGGTTTCAACCCGTCAAAGCTAGTGGTTGTCTTTAGGTTGCATTTCCACAGTAAAGTCTCTAGAAGCTTTGTGTTTTGATTATAACCATTAGAATAGAATAGACTTCATTGATCCCGCTGTGGGAAATCCTCTTGTTAAGGAGAATAAGGTTCAGTTCAAGGTAACGGTACTGTCGGGTCAGTCGGCACTCGTGAAGACTGACCTTGTTCTGTTATTTCCTACGTGACGTCTCTTCTAAGGGTCAGAGGTGCACGGGTGGCTCCTGTGCAACGCTGTTATTCTGTCTCACTTCAAAGTAGAAGGTTTTCAGTGACCTGCCGAAAAGCTTGGAGCACACATTCCTCACTGACTGGTTCTTAATCTGCTTTGGGTTAAAGGGCGTTATTTATTCTCATGGAAACTAGTCTGCAACTTCTAGTTCTTTACGTTTGTGTTTTATGTTTTTTTATAAAGTGACTCGATTTGAACCTAACATGCATGTTTTTGACCCGTGGGAGGAAACTGTGCAACCCAGAGAAAACCCGCTATCTCTGTCCACAGTTCAGATTTGAACCTGTGACCTTTTTTGTTGCGAGGCAATGGTGCAATCATCTGTGGCACCACATCCCTAAAAGGCCTGTGATCATAGCAGACATCCTGGTGTGTTTCTGGGGGGCCGCATTCCAAACCTGCAGACATGCATGCAGACTGTTCTGTAAAACCATTAACAAGCTTCCTCTCGGCCCTTAAACCGTCTACTGTAAAGCTGAGTTATTGTTTCTAATTACATTTACAACATTAATTTCCACTTTCTTCTCCTGTTGCAGGGTTGGTGTGGATCCAGATCAAGACCTGCAGTCCTCTGGAGACAGTTTTCAGGTCTTGCAGGGCGTGAGTATCATGACTTGCATTGTTCTGGTGTTTGATGTTAATGCAGTGTGTGGTCTGTAGATTTGAACATCTGGAAAGTTGGTTAGAACGGTTGTAAAGGACTTTACTAACAAATACTGGCATGAACATCATTTTCTGGCATGAATAATTTTTTTCCCAAAGTCGGTTTTTGTCCCTTGCACTTTTTACCATCCCAGAACAACATTAGCCTACATGAAAGACCCTGGTGGAGCACTAGGACTAGGTTTCCCATTAGAACCGTCCAGAAGCTCATCTATTGGCTCTGCTGATACGTTCTAACGTGTGATTGGCCGGTCCTGCCACCAGTGTACTCGATAGTTCTGCATTCCTGACACGGCATAAAAGAGCCTCTAGGCTGTAATTCTATACATTTAAACCCGACACATATAATGTCCAGATACCCTCGGGTCCTCATGCCGGTTGTGCCCCCTCCCTCCCCCACTTCTAAAGTGAAAACGCGTCCACTGGTGTGTTTTAGTTGGTTTGTGATGCCTTTTTGATTGTAGCACATGCTAGGCACGTGGGAATAGACCCTGTGGAAGATCTATTCCAGCGCTGCAGCACCGGTGCTTGCATGGATCTCTCCTGCACACCTGCCTCACATCGGTGCAATCACACGATTATCCAGAGGAAATGATTATCCGTTATTACAAATGTGTCCTCTGACACAGGCGAATGTCATTATCTGAAGTCATTTTATCTTAATTTCTTCATCTGCTGCAGATGGAATATGAAGATGTGTGTTTTGTGTGTGTGTTTCTCCAGGATGGCGCTCAGGATGAGGGACAAAGCAAAACCAAACAGGAGAGTGCACGGCTCTTTAGACTGTGGTACAGCTTCGACCACAAGTATCTTTGCAGACGTGGGTGTCGTGCATCATCTGTGATCAGACCACAGAGTCGACATCTGTGTGGTTTTTGTGCCCGCTGCAGGTCTCGGGATGATTGTCTGGTGGTTATTCTCTTTTTGTCAGATCATCCGTCTCTGGGATCAGATGAACTACGTACAACATATTTGTTTTTGCTGCTACGTAATACGTTTAGCAGCTCACTCTCGCATTTCATCCTTCTTCTTTATCTCTGAGTAATGATCTCCCCTGGTGGTTTGTTGTGTGGCTATTTTTGAGTGTAGCAGCTGTTTTCCAGCAGGACCTCTCCCCCCGGTGACAAACACTCTGAAGCAAGCAGAGCAGGGGGAGTCTGCTCATTTCTCAGGACTGACACAAGTCATCCATCATTCTAAATGTCAAATAAACAGCCTGTATTTGATAGAGCGCCTTCTAGAGTCATGGAACCCCCCAAGGCGCTTTACAACACAGTCATTCACCCATTCACACACACATTCACCCACTGGTGGTGATGAGCTACGATGTAGCCACAGCTGCCCTGGGGTGCACTGACAGAGACGAGGCTGCCGAGCACAGGCGCCACCGGTCCCTCCGACCACCACCAGCAGGCAATGTGGGTTAAGTGTCTTGCCCAAGGACACAATGACAGCGACAGACTGAGCGGGGCTCGAACCTGCAACCTTCTGATTACGGGGCGAGCGCTTAACTCCCGTGCCGCCGTCGCACCCAAAAGCAGAGTAAGATGAAGCCAAGTGTTTCCGTGCCAATAATTGCAAACAAAAGGCCCGGGAAGCCACAGGTTCCCTCTGCTGCTGTCAGCCATCACGGTTTAATGTGTTAGCTGCAGCCGACAGAACCGCTGCAGAGATCAGTACGTCTGAACCAGGGGTGTCAAACTCATTTTAGCTCAGGGGCCACATTGCGAGAAATCTAGTCCCAAGTGGGCCGGACCGGTAAATTAAAAACAACTTCAGATTGTTTTCTTTGTTTTAATACAATCAATATAAAACAAGGCTGGAGCCTGAGGACAGTGTAGTACAAATACTACACCTGATGTGTACTCGAAAATTTGAAAAAAAGAAAAAATCAATAAATAAAAAAAACATTCCTTAGTGATTCAAAGAGCTTACAGATCACATGGCTAGATCAGTTTCATGCAGCACTTAAAGTATATTTGACTCATTTTACTTTACATCTTTTAGCTTTCACCGGCACATCAACATCAGAAGTCACATCCTGAGTGGCGGCCAACTTCAGGATGTGATTCAAGTTCTTGTGTGAGCCTTGAGCGCAGCTTTGTTTTATTTATACTCATTACAGAGAAAACTTGCTCACAAAGATACGTTTATTTTCACTCTACATTGTAAAGTATGAAAATAAAGTTTACACAACCATCTCGCGGGCCGGATTTAACCCGCTTGCGGGCCGGATCCGGCCCGCGGGCCGCATATTTGACACCCCTAGTCTAAACCATTAGGCCATTAGTCACTCGTCCAAATGTTAGAATTCAGCTCATTTAACTATTTCACAAGTTTCAGTGTAATTGAGTTGTTTTAGTGCCAGTTTAATAGCAACAAAATAATAATAATAATAATAATAATTATACAGGTGCTGGCCAGTAAATTAGAATATCATCAAAAGGTTGAAAATATTTCAGTAATTCCATTCAAAACGTGAAACTTGTACATTATATTCATGCAATGCACACAGACCAATGTATTTCCAATGTTCATTACATTTAAATTTGATATTTATAGGTGACAACCAATGAAAACATCAAATCTGGTATCTCAGAAAATTAGAATATTCTAAAGGCCAATGAAAAAATGTTTGTTTCTCTAATGTTGGCCAACTGAAAAGAATGAACATGAAAAGAATGTGCATGTATAGCACTCAATACTTAGTCGGGGCTCCTTTTGCCTCAATAACTGCAGTAATGCGGCGTGGCATGGACTCGATCAGTCTGTGGCACTGCTCAGGTGTTATGAGAGCCCAGGTTGCTCTGATAGTCGTCTTCAGCTCCTCTGCATTGTTGGGTCTAGCGTATTGCATCCTCCGCTTCACAATACCCCATAGATTTTCTATGGGGTTAAGGTCAGGCGAGTTTGCTGGCCAATCAAGGACAGGGATACCATGGTCCTTGAACCAGGTGCTGGTGGTTTTGGCACTGTGTGCAGGTGCCAAGTCCTGTTGAAAGGTGAAGTCTGCATCCCCATAAAGTTGGTCAGCAGCAGGAAGCATGAAGTGCTCTAAAACTTCCTGGTAGACGGCTGCATTGACCCTGGACCTCAGGAAACAGAGTGGGCCAACACCGGCAGATGACATGGCACCCCACACCATCACTGACGGTGGAAACTTTACACTGGACCTCATGCAACGTGGATTCTGTGCTTCTCCGCTCTTCCTCCAGACTCTGGGTCCTTGATTTCCAAAGGAAATGCAGAACTTGCTTTCATCAGAAAACATAACTTTGGACCACTCAGCATCAGTCCAGTCCTTTTTGTCCTTGGCCCAGGCGAGACGCTTCTTGCGCTGTTTCTTGTTCAAGAGTGGCTTGACACACGGAATGCGACACCTGAATCCCATGTCTTTCATGAGTCTCCTCGTGGTGGTTCTTGAAGCGCTGACTCCAGCTGCAGTCCACTCTTTGTGGATCTCCCCCACATTTTTGAATGGGTTTGTCGTCACAATTCTCTGCAGGGTGCGGTTATCCCTAGAGCTTGTACACTTTTTTCTACCACATTTTTTCCGTCCCTTCGCCTGTCTGTTAATGTGCTTGGACACAGAGCTCTGCAAACAGCCAGCTTCTTTAGCAATCACCTTTTGTGTCTTGCCCTCCTTGTGCAAGGTGTCAATGATTGTCTTTTGGACAGCTGTTAAGTCAGAAGTCTTCCCCATGATTGTGGTGCCTTCAAAACAAGACTGAGGGACCTTTTAAAGGCCTTTGCAGGTGTTTTGAGTAAATCAGCTGATTAGAGTGGCAGCAGGTGTCTTCTATATTCAGCCTTTTCAGAATATTCTAATTTTTTGAGATACCAAATTTGGAGTTTTCATTAGTTGTCACTTATGAATATCAAATTTAAATGTAATGAACATTGGAAATACATTGGTCTGTGTGCATTGCATGAATATAATGTACAAGTTTCACGTTTTGAATGGAATTACTGAAATATTTTCAACCTTTTGATGATATTCTAATTTACTGGCCAGCACCTGTAATTATTATTATATTTTTTGTGTATTTGTACGCTTTCACTGAAGTGCCAGAACCAATCCATGCTTGTAAGGCAGTTTCAGGGTTGGTTTATGGAAAGCGTCCTTCTGATGATGTGGGCACTTCTGGGAAGAACAATCTTCTGGATTTCTTGGACTGTTGGGTTTCCAGGAATCTGTTTTCTCTTTTCCAGTCCCTTCTCGATGAGGCCAAGTGCGCCCACTACGACGGGAATTGCTGTTGTCTTCATCCCCCACATTCTCGTGACTTCTATTTCCAGGTCCTTGTACTTTGAAAGCTTTTCAAGCTCCTTGGTGGTGACATTTTTTTCCGATGGGATGGTCTTCTCTTCTTTGTTTTTGATGATTATGTCTGGTCTGTTGGCCATGATTTCTGTCTGTGTTGATCGGCATGTCCCACAACACTGTGATGTTGTTGTTTTCAGTCGCTGTTGGTGGTTGGTGGTCATACCACTTATCTGCAGCTGGTAGATGGAAATGCTTGCAGATCTTCCAGTGGACATGGCTTGCTGCCCTGTCGTCTCTGTGGATGTACTCATTATTATTATTATTATTATTATTATTATTATTAACAATAATATTTCAAGGTTGTGGTACATGCTTTCACTGATTTAATTCACTGTTCAGTTTGAATTCTCCTTAACAACTTCTCAGTTACCTGAAGCCCATCTTGACCCACAGCGGTCCACCGCTCACCTCCACCCTGCCCAGCTACTGCGGGCCACTGGCCAGCTGTCTCACCAGTCCGCGGGTAAGTGAAGTGAGTGTTGGTGAAATGTTTTCAACAGCTTTGAATGGCCTTAACACCGTGGCAGAATCTGGGTCCAGGATGTGAGATCCCCATGCACCAGCGTGCCCATAACGGACACTAATGGAGGCTGCGACCCACGCCATCATTGTTGCAGCATCCTGATGTGGTCTGAGAGAGTGGTTGAAGATCTTGGCTGTGGTGCCATCATGTGTGGTGGGATTGCCATGGCAACATGCTGCTGACATTTATGGCAGAGTTTGGATGCAGAGAAAACCTATTTTGTGAGAACTAAGACTACATTTGGTACTTTAGACAGTCGAATGTAGAGCAAGGTCAAACGGTAACTGCAGGATTCCTCCCTCTGAATGAAAAGTGAACTTTTACAACTCATAAGTTAAATAATCATTAAATAAATCATATGGTTGAATGAAACAGATGTTACATGAATAATAATAATAATAATAATAATGTTTGAATAATCTGTGCCTAATTCAGTGACGTTGAAATGAATATTTACAATGAAACATTTATGTTATGATCAGTAATGTTTGATTTAACAAGTGAGTCATTATCTACGCTCATACACAATGTTCATTAGATGCATAGTAAATATTCATTTTAACGTCACTGAATTAGGCACAGATTATTCAAACATTATTATTATTATTATTATTATTATTATTCATGTAACATCTGGTTCGTTCAACCATATGATTTATTTAATGATTATTTAACTTATGAGTTGTAAAAGTTCACTTTTCATTCAGAGGGAGGAATCCTGCAGTCTTATCAGAGGAAAGCTTTGTTTGGGGACAACGGCTGAATGCCAACGAGCGCTGCAGCCTCCTGGGCTTTAGAGGACCGAATAGAAAATCCCCTTTTAAAATGGAATTATATCAGTATGTATGCAAGTCGATATGTGGGTGAAAATGGATCCTTTCTGGCTGATAGGACTTTTTCATTATTTAATGTACCTTTTTGAGGCCTGAAGAACGTTGCAGGACATGATACGTATTTGTTTAAACGAAAGGTCATGGATCTTCTTGGATCACGTTTTAGAGTGGTGAAGAATGGCCTCTGTGATCACCCAACTTCCCGAGACAAGATGAAGGTCCAACCATATGTGTTGATTAAGTTCCCGCTCAGCTGAGGAGTTGTGTGTGTGTTTTGACTGTAATTCCTCTGTAAGCCTGCTGTGCTGTTATCTCTGGAATATGGTTTCCTAGGAGATGAGTCTGTAACTCTGAAACTCGAGGAAGGCCCGCCCTCCATCCCATTGTTCAATAAAAACCTCTGTTGAGCTGAGAGGGGTGGGGAGACGATGGAAAACGGCTCCGGAGGGAGTTGTGCATCGCCTCCTCTCCGCTGTTTGATGAGACGGTGTAAATTGAACTCCTCTTTGTATTTGGTGTGTTTGTTTCAGGTAACGGGTTATGGAGAAAGTAAAGATTACCCAACACTGGCCATTAAGTGAACAAAGATTAGAATGGATATTTGGGCATGGATGCTTAATTATTATAATTTTATATTCATCACAAATTCAACGTTTTTTCTTCAAACCGGATTTAACACTTCCAGTAGTTTATACCTGACAGGACCGACAAGCTAACGGCTAGTCTGAGTGTAGCTTGCTGCTGTCTCCCGCCACACGACGTGATCCCAGGATGCACTTGGACTGTTGCACTGTGCTGCTTTGCTTGTTGTTAAACGTGTAAAGTAAACAGCACTGCAAATGTTCCTAAAATAATCCCACATGAGTTAACTCATTCACTGGCTGTGTACATGCACGTCAATCGGAATGAAGAACGGAATAAACCACCTCCGATCGGGCCGAATCGGATCAGAATATTCCGACTGACATGTTTACATGCAGAATTTTCGATCTGATTGGGCGTTCAATCCGATTAAATATGCGCATGTAAACGTGGATACTGACAGCCGTGTCCTGATCAGTAAAGCCCTTCGCTGCTGGCGTTTTTCAGCGTTTTCACTTTTTTTAAGGGTCACAGAACGTTGCACTCCAGGATGATGTCAACGCCAAAAAAGAGTAGACTCGCTTCTTACATCGGGAAGCATCCGCGCGTTTCGTACGTTGTCCGTTCTTTCATAACCCGTTGTCAAATTGTGATCGGCAGAAGCTTTTCCGATTCGCGCCTCACTTTTTTTATTTTAGTTTTATTTATTTATTTGTTTTGGGCCGCTGCTGTAAAAATAAATAATCTAACACGTGGATTTTCTGCTTCCTGATCACGTGACGTCTGCAGATGAAGATCGGCTTTAGAGCTAGCATGTTTATTCTCGCGGTGCGGGGGCTCATTCCCACGCCCACACAGTAAAAACATGCAAATGACAACTTTAGCTGTCATCGGCAGTTAATGAGTTAATGTGATGGTGGTGTTCCAACTAGCCGTTAGCTTCTCAGTCCTGGAGGACATGAACACTTTTTAAGCACTGAAGCATGTCAGGAAGCCATCTGCAACAAACCGCTCGGTTGCTGTTCTCTGCAAGCCTTTCCCCCCGCTTGCATTCAGTCCTCCGCGGTTCCCCAGGAAGCCAGTCTGTGAATACTGAGGAAAACTAAAATGGTCAAAGTCTTCTTGAGGCCTGCCAGTAAACATGCCGAGAACTAAGGCCCTCAAGAGAAAAACTAGAGCGGTGCATTCAGATTGCACAAAGGGCTCTTTTCAGCTCCGTCTGAATGGTGACCGCTGTTCCGACCGGCGCTGCGCTCTGATATTTAAACACAAAAATACCTACTGAAGGTTCAGTCACGCTGCCTGGGCCCTTTTCATAAATGAATTTCATGTGGAATGCATGACGCGAGGCGTCTGCTTTCTTTGAAAGATAAACAGCTCTGACTTGAGCGGTATAACTAAGTTTTCTCTCTCTATCACATATCTGCTACGGTCTGCAGTCAGAGACATCGTCTCTTCCTGGCTTGCAGCTGTAGGGTTGCCGGCGTCGCGCCGCCTGCCACGCCAGTCATGAATGTAGAGTGCTGTTTGTTTAAGCGGGCCGGTCCAGAGCTCTGGTTCACCAGCTGGGTAGAGGCAGGATTAAGTAAAGCTCATCGCCTGCTCCCTCTCGGGTTATGGATGTTATGAAACGTAGAGCGGGCTAAATCCCTCTTAGCCGGAACTGAATGACAAACTTGTTTGTAAATGTTTTGTAGTCATGTGTGAGAGGATTGGTAAAGCGTAAAACTAAAAGTACATTAATCTGATTAATCTGTGACACTCCGCTGTTCCGGCCAATCAGAAAATGGGTCACAGATATATGGCTTCCATGAACAGGACTCCAACGGGACCATTTCTGCCAGATGCTGCAGCTCTCTGTGCGTATGTGATACTCGGGAGGACGCTGTGCAGCATTTTGGATCATTCTTATGTTTTAATGTAACTTTTTTCTAAGTTTTAAAACACAACATGAAATAATTCACGTTAGTTTTACTGTTTCTCTTCAGACGTGTTGCCAGGAAGACCGTGGTTATGTAACTTATTAATTTTCATCCCAACATCTAACTGATCCTTTGATTGACCTGGCATTGGACGGTCCCTGTCCTCCCTTGGGACACGAGTTGACTATTGATGACCGAGTCAGAGCTGTGCGGACTTCACGCTGTAGAGCGGGTTCATGGTCACACAAAGTACAACACACGTTTTTGTATCAAGTGTGCAGCGCTGACCGATTCCTTCCTCTGAACCTGTCAGCTCACGCTTGTGCACCTCAGGTTTATGTGTCACGCGTAACAGGCTGTGGTTTCCTGTTGTGTTTCTACGACTCGCTCTGCTTGATTCTGTAAGCGAACGCTTCCTCCCTTCCCTTCTCTAAATGAAGGGGCCCTGATGAGCCTTTACTCTGTTTTTACTCTCGTGTTTGCTTTTGCTGTGTCCTTCATTTGGGACTGTGTCTCCATCCTTCATGCTTCATTCTGCCTTCGTTTCCAGAACCACGAGCAGCTCCGGGACTCTGACCTGATCCACACCGACGCTGACCTGACTTTCATGTTTGGCGATGCGACCATCACAGCCAACGGGGCGTCCGCTGGCAAGACGGATGCTGCTGGAGGGTTGGGCTGGAGTGCAAATGGGAAAAGGAGCAGCAGCACATCGGAGGAGGAGCTGGAGCGTGAGCTAGACTCCCGCGAGCAAGAGCTGCTGAGCAGAGGCACACGCCTGGTTTTCCCCATTGAGGAAAACGCCTGACGCTGCCTTCCCCCTCCCTTCCCCTTCCCCCGCCTGAACTGCCGTCCTTCCTGGCCTGACCCATAGACCGTCTCACAGTCAGCTCTCTCCACTTCCATGTTGGCCGAAAGCCCAAACCGTCAAAGATGAGACCGACTGGAGATACGGTGGTGGACGGGAGGGAAGAGCTCACAGTGACTATTGGCTCCCTTGATCCCTGGGAGGGAGGCAGAGCTCCAGGAGCATTTTGTTCTCGTTGGAGGAGTTTATTCTGAAGGAACTCAAGAGTGTCGAGAGGGAAAACACTGAGGCTGTTTCACAGATTGCCTCCACTGCCGAGCCAGAGATGCAAGCAGGATGTGAGGATTTGGTTAAAGATGCAAGAATCTCTGCATCAGTGAACAAAACCACTTCAGCTAACAAGGACGAGTCCCATCATGTGATGTTTCCAGCTTGTTCTCACCATTCACTTGCCAACGTTGTCCAAATGCTTTAACTATTCTTCAGACGTGTGTGTGTGTGTGAAATGTACGTGAAGCTGCTAAAAGACCCGTTCTGGGTGTGTGAGGCAGATGTGGGGGTACTTCTGTATGTGTGGATGCTCTGATGCTGCTGAGGGGAGTTAGCCTTTGGCTGAGCTGTGTGTGTCAGCGTGTTCCTCTTACAGAAACTATTCAGTCATGCTGTGTTTGAGTTGGCCCTGATCATTTTCTGTTGGACTGCTTTTGACAACACACACAGGAATGTCGCCTCTTTAAATTCTACTTCCCAAATGAGGACATGCACTCAAGTATAAAACAATCTGCACTGTGAAATAAAGAACGGGCATTCGTAGCATTTTCTGTGCAAAATCTCAGTTTTGTCAACTTATATTGAAAGTTGAATGATAAAATATTATTGAATGCTTTAAATAACATTTTTATTTGAATCGTTGTTGAAATGACTTGATTTAGTCGGTGGGGACACTTTCTTCTTAACATTGTTTAGATCTATTTTGAAGCGTTTATAAAATCTCACACAGTGATTTAAAGGGCAAGATGGCCTTGCTATTGCCTTGGAGCAAGAAGGTTAATGGTTTGAATCCTGCCTGCGCAACTTTTCAGCATGCAGTCGGCATGTTCTCATGCATGTATGAGTTTTCTCACGCAGACCAGAAACATGCATGTTGGCTTCATTAGAACCTCTAAATTGGTGTGTGAGTGTGTGTGACTGGTTGTTTGTCTCCACGTGTCCCTGTGACAGACAGGTGACATGTCTATGGTGTTGCTGCCTCTTTACGACCTCTGGAGTCGGGGACCAGCTGCCCTCAGCCCTACGAGAGTGAAGTGGGTGGATGCTGAGTTAAGCATTAGCAGGAGGGAGGAGTTGGCTGGTTTGGTTTTCTATAAGATCTCCAATAGAAAGTTCCATTTGGAATGAGAAGTTTGCATTTGGAGTTCCAAGTAAAATTAATCCGTCTCCCAAAGTCAGAATTCCAGATGAAAGTCTGACGTTCGGACCTGCATAAATCCTGACCACGCACCAGGCTCCTTTTAACCCTAACCCTTTGCAGGAGTGGAAATCTGTAAGGCCATCTCGTGCCTAACCCATCAAACTTGTCACTCAAATGTGAAAAGGCATCTTAAGACCAGCCTTTAGCTCAAGTCTGGAATGTTTTATTAACATAAAAAGTGACTTTTTTTTATATTTAAAGAGAACATTATGCAAGACTCACCTTTTGCATCTTTTTGTGCTGCCGCGTGGGTCTCTACCGCTTTTATAAACACTCCAAGCACGGAAAAAAAAACATGTCATTGTGTAGTTTAACGGTTCGCATGTGCTCATTGTATAGCCACACCCACCCCTCCTCCAGTGGGCGTGGCCAGCTCCAGCTTGTTTCCTCGAGGTGAAGAAGCCCTGAAGCGACGTATTCTGGAAAATACTGAAACTGAAATAGCTTCACATGAGATTTTTTGCAAAGAACTTCATAACCCTGTTCTGTATGGACCATAGAACTAATATAACTTAGGAAAAAGTCAAGTTTCCTTTAAATCGAATAAGATGCCAAAAATATATATTATGTCTAAATATATCACATAACACATTTTTGTATTTAAATCCAATAGATGAAACACGAGATGTCAAATATAGACAGAAAAGAGGAGGGAAAATGATCGTGGATAATCTTTTAACATTATTCTATGAATGTTTGAACGTATGAGCCTCTTGATCAACCATCCAGTTTCAGAACAAGCTTCTATGCTAATAAATGTTTTTGCTAATTAAAAAGTAAAAAATACACCTGGTAACTTTTTCAGGTGTTGATTTTATTCATTATAAATATTAGATTTTGGGATGTTGCTGATTTAATCTCATACACTAAAGACGTTTCAACAAGAGGCTCATGTCTATATTTAACTTTTTTCTACTGAGGTTTTATTTTGTATTAATTTCTTGACATCGTATCGCTCTTTGACCTGTGAATAATTCATCCTATGGCCTGACCTCAAGCAAGGACAGATGCTATTTTCTTGAAACTTAAAAACTGAACTCACTCCTGGCTCTTGTGAAGGAGCAGAAACAGAGTTCTGATTGGTTTTCCGAGGCCACATTTTCACCGTTTAACTGTTTTATTTTCTCTACACGCCCTCTGCAGCCTGTTCTATTCCCTCTCCAACAACACAAAGTGAGTGACCACTGCATTTATAAGGGCAGGTGTGAACGACATGACTGAGGGACTTGGACCTGAGGCTTTTACACCGCAGAGAGTTTTGTGCGAGTCTGGCGGCCCGCTGGGGGCCTCCAAGAGGAACTGAATCTTGTCGTGTAAGCTGTTGCCGAGCCTTATGCAGAGTAGGTCATTGAAACTCTGCTGGAGAGAAGTTCAGCCAAACGGAACGGTCTTATTTCGACTGTCACCGTCTAACGAGATACGTTTGGTTTAAAAGAATGATCATAAAAAGGTAAAAAACGTGTTTCTAACATGAAAAAACAAAAACTTGTCTATTGAATGCTGCGTTCCCTTCTGTTGCTTTATTCTCTAAGCAGCGGTATACGAGCTAACGCTGACTGACAGATCCAGCATTTTTCCTAAAACCGTGGGATCACGTGGACAGCGACCTTGTGGAGGACGAGTAAATGACCAGAGACAGGCGCTTAACTGCAAGCAGAGGACACTGCTGGGACTCTTATGTAACCTTCATGAGCACGCTGTCCATCCCCACGCTGCTGTGCCATCAGTTGTCCCGCCGGCGGTATTTAAGTACTCTTCACCTGAGAGAAAGCTGAGTGGCAGCCTGATTGTCCGTGTGTGCACCTGTTAGTCACAGCTGGATGCTTCGAGTGCATGTCCACATGTTAATCAGAAGTCCTCCAGTTCTGGGTCAGCTAGCTGTGCTCACTCATAAAGCCGTTAAATGAAGTGATTAATGAAATGCACCATGGTGAGACTGCACCAGACCAGAGCTTCTGCTCAAACACAGACTGAGGTTTGCTTGCTGGGTTCTAAACGCTGATCTGAAACCGAGCCGAAGGTAAAGGAACATCGTGTTAGATAAGAAAAAAGAAGACAATTACTTAAAGAGCAAGTTCACTGAGAAACTGTTTTACTTGTTCTTTTTGAAATTCAATCAACCACTCGAAGTTTCCTGCATTAGCCGCCAAAAGTAAATGAACATGGAAACCCCGGTGTGAGAAAGAGCTACTCAGATCTACGTCACAATGTACATCAGCATTCATGGACCCGCCCATCTTGCCTTGTGACGGGGAAGGCTCTTGTTGGTTTAGCGTCCAGGAAACGGCAGGCAACTTTCTGGCTATAGAAGCTAACTGTTAGCATTAGCAACTCTACATCCCAGCCGAACTTCAGGCTTGTGTGATCTGCAGAGATAAAACATCAACATTGCAAAGCAAATATTCAGTGAGTCGCATTGCTGTTAGCCAATCAGAGGCGAGATGTCCAAATACAGGAAGTAAGACTCCAATCCTGCCGTTGAGGTGTTCTGCTCACCTCTGCTCTGGCCAAGTTTTACTTCCTGAAAAGGAGAGCTAGAGCTTTTTCCCACAGAGATCCACTCACAAGGCATTCATTTATACTAGCGACCACAGCAAATGTATTGAAAAAAAGAGTGAATAAGAGCTTTATGTTGGAAAAAAGCAAAAATCTGACGGATATTTTTACACATTACTGTATGTATTTCACCAAGGCATGTTCCAGTTGTATGTGTACCTTCGTACAGTACAAACCGTACCACAGGTCAACAATTAGCTTTAAGGAGTTTATGAAGGGATCTACAAATCAAACACGTTTTAATTTACCTAGGTCAGCTTAAATAATTTAGTTATTTCTGATTTTGACACATCTACGAGTATCTCAACGAGAAAAGTTAAATTAAACCAACTTATAAAGTCAAACACTTGGACGCTGGTAAAACTAAACAGCCCCTCCCCGTCAGTATAGTCCTGAGGGATATCATAGCTTTTTAAAGGAGTCCGTACCACTAGAGAATGCTAAGAGCGTCCGCTGCCAGGGGACAGAGACAGATCTCCAACGGTCTGTGGGTTATCAGAAAACTTCACGCCCATGTGAGGGATTTGTCGGGGGGGCGCTGGAGGTGTCTGGATTCCTGAGGGAACGGGGGTGGAACAATAGCTGCTCAACCAGGCCTGGATTTCAGAAAATACTGCAGTTTCTTCTTTCAGAGCTCTTAGCTGGAGATCCAGAACGTGTCCTTTCCCAGTCACGGGCTGGACAGGTGGGACCAACCTGCCTCTCTGGACTCCTGTCCCATTCAAAGACCCATCTCGGGTTTTTATGGCCCTCACTGAGGGATCTGAGGAGGGATTAGTGCTACTAAAAGGACAGAAGGATAGGCCTGTGTAGCAGCACACAACAGCCTCTTCTCTTGATTTAAGCCCCCTCCCCTACTGCTCTGTCTCCACGAACACTGCTGGTGTCGACCAGGCAGCGCTGGGAAAACAAGCTACCTTCTCCTCTTTTCAAACCATTCTGCATGTGACTGGCTGCTCTCTCTCCACTTGTTTTTTTCTCCCCTCTTCTCCCACCATTCAGTTCTGTGGTTTTCTCCAGTTCATCGACCTGACTCGGGTGAAGAGACAACAACCCCAGAGGCATGTAGAGGGCTCCTAGTGGGCCGCTTTTCTGCAGCCCCCGTCGTTAGTCCACCTTTTGCCCTTGGTAGTGAATACCAGGACCCTAAAAGGGAGAGAAATAGGAAAAACATTTATTAATACTCAAATGATGCAGGAGCAGAAGAACCACGGAGATATGCAGGCAGGTTGAACCCTATCAGTGGTGCAGGGTGGGGGCAGTGGGCACCTCCCTTTGTGTTAACGGCTTGCAGGCTGCTCAGCTGCTCGTAGAAGCTGGTGGTGACAGCCTGGTTGTAACCCCCCTTCAGGAGCTTGATCCCATCACGGACAACCAGGAACAATGACAGCTCAGTCTAAGGCCCAGCCACTTGCTGCCAGCTGGGGGGGGGGGGCTATGCCAGGAACACAACGAGTCCTCTATGAAACAGCCAAATGGGGGGCAGAGACATTCCTGATAGTCTCACTATGATTATCACTATGTAGTGGTGTGAAAACATATTTGAGCCCTTCCAGATTTTTGTTTATAGCTTTTATTTAGTAATTACTATCGATTACTATCATCAGACCAATATCAAAGATCAGCCGAACAAATACTCTGACAAAAAGAAGAAGGCTAAAAGATCTCAAAAGCAACACATCACACGTCTTTGTAAAGAAATCCAAGAATCACAAACTAGCCAAATGAGATCGGCGGACCAGTAAGGCAGGTGCGAGTCAAAGACTGGCTCCTGTTGGCGGGGTACTGCTGTTGAGCCTGTAACCGTTATCCCACGGAAGTGGCACGGTCCAAATCGGGGCATCTGGGCTGGGCATGGGAGCATTTCAGGGTAAAATCCTCAGCAGACTGGAAACTGGCTGATGAGGTCAAAGGGGAAATTCCTAGCAGGTGTGTGTCCAGTTCCATCTAAACGTACTGCTTCAGACAAAAGAACATCATAGCAACACTTAGACATGGTGGTGGTAGTGTGATGGTCTGGGGCAGCTTTAATGTAAAGATGGGACAATGAAGTCTGCTCTCTGGCAGATAATCCTGAGGGAGAATGTATGACCTTTGACCTTAAACAGGCCATTGATACTGGAAACCCCTCAGATGTGGCTGAATTCAACTTTTCTGTGAAGAAGAGTGGGACGAAGTTTCTCCAGAGTGACGGGAGAGACTCATTACCAGTTAGCACAAATGCTCGGTAGCAGTTGTTGCAGCCATGAGTGGTTTTTGACTTCATGGATCGATTGATTACGTTTTCACATTGAGCCAAATTGGTTTGGAAATATTTTTTTCTCTCAATAAATAATTCATCATTTGAAAATTGCATGTTGTATTTACTCAGATTATCCTTGTCTGACACTCAAATGAGATGTTTTTAATCTGAAACATTTAAATGTGACAGGAATAAAGGCGAGGGTACAAACACTAGTGTTCAAATGCGGTTCAGACACGTTTCTTCCTTTGGTCCGGCCGCTGTTTTCAGTCCAAACCCAACATGTGACTCGTTATTCTGAACTGAGCCAAACGAGTCAAACTGAGGAAGGAGTTAACGATGATGCAGCAAGACAGCAGAGTAGAAATGTTTAAAACAAATCTATTCCGGCGTAAATGGTAAAAGGCCTGTATTTGATAGAGCGCCTTCTAGAGTCCTGGAACCCCCCAAGGCGCTTTACAACACAATCAGTCATTCACCCTTTCACACGCTGGTGGGGATGAGCTACGATGTAGCCACAGCTGCCCTGGGGCGCACTGACAGAGGCGAGGCTGCCGAGCACTGGCGCCACCGGTCCCTCCGACCACCACCAGCAGGCAACGTGGGTTAAGTGTCTTGCCCAAGGACACAACGACAGTGACAGACTGAGCGGGGCTCGAACCTGCAACCGGGGCGAGCTCTTAACTCCTGTGCCACCGTTGCACAGGATCCTGTCTGCAATGATTACTCTGCCTAACTGGGGCTCTGGTTTACGCTCGTCTCGGTCAGACAGAGGTCAGATGTCGCTGCACACTTCCTGTCTATGCAGACAGAACGCACATGGCATGATAGACGTATTGAAAGTAGATTTTCTAACTCATACCCACTCCATCATGTGGCTTTATCCATGCTGTTCTTCTCATAGCCCAGCTGCCTCATGACTTCACTGCAGTAGGCTTCCACCTGATGGATCTGCTCCACGTTCAGCCGCTCCCTCCAGGCATAGATGGCCTCTTTTGCGTCCCTTGATGATATGAGGAAGGGCTTATCTGATGAATACCCATGGCCGTGCGTCATGTTCAGGGCAAACTTCTCCAAGGCTGGGGTAGTGGAGAGGTTGGAGAAGCGGTAGAGCCTCTGCAGCTCCTCCATGGGATGCTGGACCAGGTCCTCATAGCGAAGGCGCAGGTAGTTCCTCCTCAGCCAGGAGGGAGCATTCATCACCAGCAACATGTCACTGAGCCAGTTGTCACAGATCAGCTCCATGGCACTGGCCACGTAACTCTCCGCCCGGTTCATCCTGTTGCTTGGCACCAGCAGTCGCTTATACTTGTCGGTCTGCTTCTTGCTCCTGAGTACCTGGATGCTCTCCTTCACCAGGGCCTGTTTGGACTTCAGACGGGAGTTGTGCACGGCCCTCGGGTCTCTAAAGAGCTGGATGATTTGGAGGTTTAACGTGGGATCTCTCATCAGAGGCACTAGGGTACTCATGTCCAGAACCCGGACCCCTTTGATCACCATCACTGGGTACTTTCTGCACTCCCTCTCCAGCTCCCTCAGGTCCCTCTTCTGACACTTGGCGCACCTATCCTCTCTCACCAGCCCGACGTCATGGCGCCTGTGCGCATCGCACAGCGGCTCCGAGCAGATCACCTTGTTCATTTTCCACCCGAATATGAACGAGGTGGTGATGTTTTGAGAACCGGCGTAAAGTTTGAGGACGGAGAAGTCGCAGCGGAAGAGCGCGTTCAGCATGTCCCGCACCGCGCCCTGGAGGCTGCCCGCATCCCCGGGGTACAGAGCCTGCCATATGTGCCACATGGGCTCGTAGAGGTAGAAGACGTCGGGGTGCTGGTTGAACAGCTCCCCCAGAAACGACGACCCTGTCCTCCAGGTGGCATGCAGGTAGATGTGAGTCCGAGTCTGGCTCCTGTTGGCGGGGTACTCCATCGCATCGCTGCCGTTGAGCCGGTAACCATTATCCCACAGAAGCGCCACGGTGTTCTCCAAATCGGGGCATCTGGGCTGCTGCTGTGGCGGGTTGGCGCGCTGAGCGGATTTATCCCGGTAATCTAACACATACGGGATTAGCAGAAGTAAACCGGAATAAGCCAGAACCAGAATCACGTATTTCTTATGCAGCCTCCTCTTCATTTCCTTCTGCCGAGAGGACGCTGCGAGCGCGTTTACCCGGAGATCTCTTCAGCGTGCTGCGAGGCGCCGGGCGCTACAGGGAAGTTGTGTGTGTGTGTGTGTGTGTGTGTGTGTGTGCGTGTGTGTAAGAGAGAGAGAGAGAGAGGAGGAGGGGGGGGGGGGGGTTGCCGCGCCCCTTGAATGACAAATTTACGAGATAGTTTCTCTTTCTGGCGCTCGCATTTCGACATTTTCCCGCAGACCTTGTAATAATTGTTGCAGACTCGTTACGACCATCGGTTACGACCAGACGTTTCTCTTCGTCTTCGTGTTGTTGCTACAGAAACGGAGGAGGAGCGTTCCAAATCCGATAGCGTGTGTTGAACATTCTGTATGGAAAGCTCGTTTATCATTTATACCAGGGGGGCTGCAATTGCTGCTCTGGAGCCACATGTGGCTCGTTGCGTTGGGCCTCCAACAATGGCTTTTATAACTTTGGCTTTAAAATTTATGATGTTTTAATTAGAGTTACAATTTTAGAAATGTAAGTTTAAACTTTTTTTGTTTTATTTAATTGAAAAGCTTCATTAAATTTCCATAGATATTGACACTAAAAGTATCAGTAATACTTTTTTTAAATATTCTTCACATTTTCCACAAATATCAACATTTCATTTAAAGAAACATTATTCTTCCTGCAAATTATTTTTTGAACCTACTAATAGAAAAAAATATTTTAAGTGACAACAAATCTCTTTTAGTAGATATTTATGGAAGGTATAAAAAAGTCTGCCTTTTATTTGATAAAAAAGGTCAGAATTCTGACTTCAACCTCCCAAGGCCTGAATTTGTATTTGGTGTGAAAAAAGAAAGAAAAAGAAACATTTTTAAAACTTAATCAAAATCAAGTGTCTCTAAATCATATTTTTTAAAAAGGTCTAAGTTGAAGAGAATGAAATATAATGCAAGAAGAAGTCAATGTCACATATGTGGACACAGGGTCTCATTTGGATTATTTCCTTAGGGCTTATTTTTGGGATTCTGTGAAAAAGAGAGAACCATTTTTTGGTGTCGTTGATGTATTGAAATGATATTTTTTATACTTTTATTTACAGTAAATTACAAAAATCTTTTTTCAGCTTAATTTAAAACGATTAAAGGGATTTTGTAATTATATTCTGATTCCTCTTTTTTCTTTATTCACATTGTAGGTGGATGGACCTGCATTCATCTTTAATGAAGACCCCTGGAATGTGTTTAAACCAATTAAATATTGATCAGTTTCAGAGGACAAACTTTAAGAATAATTGCTTTTATAGTTTAATCAGTAAATTATCATTTATTGCAATTTATACCTTTTGAAATATGCTATTCTTAATTTAAGAACATGCTATAACCAATGCAGTCATTTAAGACATACAGGGGATGGCTGGACCAATAATTTACTAATGTGATCTCTCACATATATGGCAATAAACCCTTCTCGTTCTGATTCTGAAAAGGGATTAATTAAGATGAGATGGTGGGCGTGGCTATAAGCATGGGGTTAATCAATCAAACAAACCAATGAATGATTTTGAAATACAAATTATGAGTTTAATATTGTTTGATTTAAGAAGAAGGGATGTATTTGACCAGCAGAAATGCAAATTTTGATACTCGAAAAATGTAAACGTGTGCGTGCTTTTTTATATGATACAACAGCCTTCCATACTGCATAACATTTCAACGAACAAGAAGGAAATAAAGCGTTGACTTTTTTTCAGTGGTACGCATGCGCACCATTGTATGTTTCGATGACGCGGTAGTGGAGGAATGAATGGACCTAACAGTCAATGTAGCGCCTCAGTTTTTGTACATTTGCAATAACGATTTCAACGTTGTTCTTCAAGTCTTATATTTTGAAAAGTTATCCAATAGTTTGCAAGAGTGAGCCAGGCGGTTCCATGCAGGCTAACGCTTGGGGCTAATTCTTGTAGCACAACCAGCAGCTGGAACACCATGGCACACTGGAGCACCTTTGAAAAGGAGACGGAGAAAGAAACCAAGAAGTTAATCAGATCTATCAGCAAGATTGAAGATGAGGAGGACCAAAATTTCCAGTCTGCGCTGAAATTTACGTGGTCAAATTTCAAGTAAGTTAGCCACCGGAAGCAAGCATGTTGTTAGCTGCTAACAAAAGTGTAGCTAACTCAAAGAAGGGCTGCTGTTTACCGCCTGCTTTAATTTCCTCTGTCAGATTTCATCGTTATTTGGACGTCGACAGTCATAAAGTTCAACGCAGTATAAGTGGGTGAGTGCGTTTTGCTGCTCTTGTTTCCTTCCGGTTGTATTATGTTTCATTTGATTTATTTTAGGGAAATGTGAGTCTAATGGACGGATGTGATCTGGACAGGTGAAGCGCTTAAAAGCCACTTTACAGATCAATACAAGCCTGTTGGTGAATATATATATATATATATATATATATATATATATGAGATGCTAAACATAGTTGATAAAGTCTGAATAATAGGGCCTTTTTGGTTCGATTTGTTGACTTTATAATAAACAACAGCATAAACAGTCTTTGGTTCTGGTTCATTGTAATTTACTGCCAGTGGCTGTAAAGCATCTTCGTTTGGAATAGTTTCATTATGTTGTTTTACTAAGATGACTACTACAGGTAGATCCACCTGATTTAACATTTTTGTATCTTGCACAGTTTTTTGTTGATTGTGTTTAATGCAATATGTTGTTTTAATATTCTGTAGCTGTACTCGTTTGGCTGAATCACAAAACACTCATCTCAAATTGATCTGTATTCAAACAGGAAAGAAGTCAATTCTTGTTTCATTCAGAAATGCATCCGAAAAAAAGCTGGTTATTAGAATTAGCCCATATTTTCTATGGTTTTTCATATAATTTTCAATAATTATTGATATCAATCAATAAGATTTTTTTTATTGATTGGAATTTTTTCTGTATCGTCCAGTCCTAATATATATACATAATTTTTTAGCTTGTTGTCTGTATAAAAGACACCTGTCCACACCTTAAAACCATCAGACTTATACCTCCACCATGGCCAAGACCTTAGAGCTGTCTAAGGACACCAGGGACAAGACTGTACACCTGCAAAAGACTCGATGAGCCAATCTACAATTGGCATCAAGCTCTTACTTCATGGGGTACTAATGATCTTGAGAGAATGGTGAAACAGCCCAGAACTACACTAGGGGGTGGTTAATGACCTGAAGAGAGCTGAGACCACAGTGACAAAGGTTACTATTACTAACACACTACATTGACATGAATTAAAATTCCGTAATGCTCTTAAGTCCCCCTGCTCAGAACAGCACATGTCCAGGGGTCTCATTTATCAAACATGGCGCAGAATCCTTACTAAAACCGTACTTAAGCTCAGCAAAAATATGTACTTACACCAAGCAGGTGTGTGATCTATCAAACATGGAGGACTCACAGCTGCACGCAACCTCCACTTCATAAATCTGAGACTTATGAGAATGTTTCTCAGCTGCATTTTAGTCACATCCTGCCCTCACCACGCCCACCTATTGCCATAAATGGTCAATGCAAAGTGCCTTGTGGACCTCATGCATATACATAAGCCGGCTGTTGCAGCGCTCCGCCAATGACATGGCGACCGTAGACCAAGGCAGATCAAGGAAGCGCTATTTCACAGAAGCAGAAGTTGAGGTACCTGTGGGTGAGGTGGAGAAATGAAAGGAAGTGCTTTTGCAAAACAAATAAGAGAAAATCCACAGAGTGGCACAGCGTTGCTGAAGCCGTCAATGCTGACTTCTTCAGAGAGATCTGTGGCGGGTATAAAAAAAATGATACGATCGGGATTCGATCCCCAGACTCCTGGATGAAAGTCACGCGCACTAACCAGTCACCCAAACAGAGATCTCCCCTGTACAAGTAGCCAGGGCGCATGATCGATCGGGTCACAGTGACAGGACACACCCTGTCACACACGCATGATGTTCTGTCTCAATCTGTCCCCCTGCTGATATTCTGTATTCTGTATTCTGCGCTTCAGGCTGTGTGTGTGTGTGTGTGTGGGGGGGGGGGGGGGGGGGTCTTGTTCTGTGTGAAAATGAAGCAGTACAAGTGATAATGCTGCAGGATTTCATCAGTTTATCCTTCTCAGCAGCAGCACTGCAGGTGCTCTCCATGTCCAGCATGTGTGTAAGCCAGGTCCTTAGTCATCTTAAAGTTGTGCACGTTTTTCAGCCAAGTTTTCTTTCATAAATCCCAAAGTTTGCGTGGAAAGTTGCTTACGCTGTTTTCCAACCCCATTTTGTGCGTAAGCTAGCTTGATGAATGAGGCCCCAGTCCGTCTGAAGTGTGCCAGCCAGAGACCACCGGGATGATCCAGAGAAGGATCAGGAAATTCAGATGGGAACAAAACAGAACTGTTTGGAACTTGCTGTGTTTGGAGGAGGAAGAATGCTGAGTTGCATTCCAAGAACACCATTACCTCTGTGAGTCAGGGGGAAAAATGATATTTTGAGGCTGATTTTCTGCAAAGGGGACAGGACTGATCTGTATTCAGGAAAATGGGGCCGTGTATCATGAGATTTGGGGGATAAATCTTCCATCATTAAGAGCAATGCAGATGAAACTAGGCTGGATCTTCCAGCATGACAATGTTCCCAAACACACCGACCAGACAACGAAGGAGTGGCTATGTAAAAAGCATTTCCAGGTTCTGGAGTGGCCTAGTCAGTCTTCAGACCTCATCCCAACAGAGAACCTATGGAGGAGGTTGGAAGTCTGTGTTTTCCAGAGACAGCCTCACAACATGGCTGCTGTAGAGAAGATCTGAATGGAAGCCTGGTGCTCATACTCCAGCCCCAAACAGACAGCTAGGCAGCGCCTGTGAACAGCATCTAGTGCTTTCACCAGAGACGAGTAGTCCAGATTTTCCAAACTGAAGTAGACCAAAATTGGTATTGTCCCTCAAAACCAATAGGAAATACGGGTAAGACACTAACTGGGATTTGATTTCTGTTTGGTAACGTTACATAATAAGTTGTTCTGTCCATAATACGCCGTTTATAAACTGTTGTTTTCTAGAATCTATGAGAAGCTGATGGTTCATTCAGACCTGAGTAAAGCCGGCAGCTGGATGAGACTGACTGAAGAATTTCTGAACTCCCCCCTACCCAACACTCATGAAACCAAGGTAAAAAAATTAACTTGACCTTAACATCACTGACAAATAGGGATGTGTATTTTTGAAATTCTGGTGATACGATACATATCACGATACAGGGGAGACGATACGATATATCACGATATATTGCAATACATTCAGTCAGACGTTACAAGCAATTTTTTTTACTGAATTTATTGTAAGAATGTTCAACAAACAGTCCAAACTGATACGTAACATGTTTAACATGAGGTATCTGAACCATGATGGAGGGATTTACATTTCAGTGGTGGAAACAAAACCCGCTGCACACTGCTGCCACCTAGCGGGTGGCGATTGAATTGCGCAAAACGAAAAGAAAATACACAAAAGTTTGCATGTAAATTCTTTCAGGAATTAGATACACGGCTTTTGAATATCGATGTAATAATCGCAGGAAAAAATATCACGATATATTGCCATATCGATATTTTCTTACATCCCTACTGACAAATGCATCCCATCAGGGTTTTGGTTTCCATTGTCCCCATAAGAAAATGAAAATGTATTGATACATTTGAACTATTGAATATTTGATCTGTAACGGGTTTTTGGTGTGTTTCTTAGACTGATGCACACTACAGTGTGCTGTCGCTGCTGCTCTTCCTGTCAGATTCGCCCTCAAACACAAACTTCACTGAAAGACTCTGGGCGAAGGAGACGGGTGAGCTGATGTTTCATTTGTTAGACTTTTGATTTCTTTAAAAACACCCTCATGTACTGGTGTCTGTGCAGAACCAGAGGACAACTTTGACTGGGCCAAATATCTGATGGAGGGTGAGGACATAGACGCTGGGCCGTATCCGGATACCCCTGTGAGTGAGTCACCCCCAAGGGCTGGAGTGCAAAAGCCTCCGGTGCCATTTGCAGACTCCAAAACCCTGCAGCTTTTCTCTGAGGCTAGTTTTTGTTTTCTTGTGCAACAGGAGTGGTCCGAGGAGGAGAGCGAGGACGATGACAGTCAGCAGCCAATCAGCAGGGAGGACTCTGGGATCCAGCTGGACAGAACCCCCCAGGAGGACCAGGACAGCTCCAACAAGACCGTTCCAGTTGCATGGACAGGTGTTACGTAATTTAACAGCAACATGATACGACCTTAGAAAGTAAATGATGATGATGATGATGATGGCGTTAGAATGGAGCAGAATGAGAGCTGGTGCCGCTGTCTGACGGCCATGTTTAAATCTGCCGTTCCAGTGGGTGAACCGGATGCCCGGGCCTGGCTCGAGCAGCACGTCGTGACTCCGTACTGGGCGACTCACGCTTCTCGTTTCCCTCACAGCTTACACCTACACTCCAACTTACTCAATGTTTGGTAAGACTTCAGACGTTCTAATCGCTTCTACTTTAGAATAAAGTTCAATTTCAGATGATATCAAATACCTGTTGGAAAAAAGGTAAATTTGGGTGGTGTTTGTTTATGTTATTAAAAATGTTATAGACGTGGGGTAAGCCTGAGGAACTTTGAGCCTGAAATAAAAATAAACTATGAGAACTTAAAGATAGGCGTACTTTCCAACTAAATGTTCTAGTTGTCACAGATAGTTGAAACTATAATCTCTGAGTTTGGATGATTTAAAATGTTTATGTTTGGCTCTTGTCTCGAAGGGATCAGCACTTGTACAACACCGACCCACTGTATCTGCCAGAAGAAAAGGCCTTTGTGTCCGAAACTCAAGTGATACGGGAGACGCTGTGGTAAGATGTGTGACTGCTGATTTTACACAAACGTACAAAGATGTCGGCTTTCTGCTTCGCTCACACAACTTTTACCGTCTTTGTGAGCTTCTGACAGCTATTTGAGTCTGTTTTGTTGATTTTATCATCAATTTGAGCTGCCTGGTTCTTTTTCAGGCTCCTCTCTGGGGTTAAGAAACTCTTTATATTTCAGCATCATGATGGGAAAGTGTCAGTGAGAAATGATGTGGTTGTAACTCATCTGACAAGTGTAAGTCCAATAAAAAAGCCTTGGTATTTTATCACATTTATCCTTCTCAGGGCAGTACTCAGACTTCTTTCCTCTGGCGCTGCAGAACTGCTTGCTGTCTGTGCTGGAGCATGTGTCCGTGTATGGACAGGCTGTGTTCAGGCTTCAGAGGTTCATAGATGAGGTGACGGGTCACAGTTCAGAGCCCGGTCCTCCAGGCTCCGGCTCCTGCTCCAGGAAGGGCTCCGAGCCACCATTTAGGACCTACCAGGCTTTTGTTTGGGCTTTGAACAAGTACTTCACCGGTTTCAAAGAAGAGCTGACCACAATAGAGAAAGAGATCATAAGCAATGGTGAGTAGCTCTGAGTTCTTTCTGCCGTCTTGTTGTTGTTGTTGTTGGAGTTAATGTTAGAAAGCTTGTTGCTGGAACAGTTTGTGCTTGAAGCTTCGTTACTGAGCTCTGATTGGTATTTAACGTCACTTTAGTGTCCCTTCTGGGAAATGTGCGTTCCATGCAGGCGAAACAGGATCCGCGACACACTTGCTGACATTAAGCATCTGACATCTAACACCTCTGTGAACAGGAGTTACACACGACATGTCGTGCAGGAGCCATAAACACCAGCCAGACGGTTTAGAAACACAGATTGTGTATGTTTTACACTGTTTATGGAAACGGTGGCAGTGAAAGCAGCTGTGTGTGATGTTCTGACCCGCTGTGGCCACCTAGCAGGTGGTATCTCCTCCCCTTCCAGTCGGCTCATGGGTGCCGATAACGAAGGAAACATGAATGTAAGAGAACGGGACGATAAAGCTGTTTATGTCCTGAATCACACTTATAATGTACTTCAATGTAAAAGAAAAGTAATGATGTGTCTGTCACATATTTTCACTTTTATTAGTTTGTAAAAAAAAATCTGAATTAAAACGACAACAAATCAGACGTCACCACAAAGTCTCCTCTCCCCATCATAGCTGCTACTTACCACATGGCCAGATTAATAGTGTTGTTTTCCGTGTGTAATGCTCCTTTTGTCCTGGCAGAAGGATCTAAAGCTTACTAAACCTCCCGTCTTCTCCGTGTCTGGTTTAGTGACGCCAGTATGATGAGACAAACATTTGCAGTTCTGTACGTATTTTCAGGCACAACCTAAAATAACTTTTCCCTCAGTTCCAAGATGAGCGCTTTCTTGGCATCAAAAAGTCTTTAAAATTCACAAACATCATATGTGAAATCCATGGCACGTAACAAATGGGATCAGAAAAAGGCTTTTAGGGCTTTCGCACTAGCGCCGGCTGCACTCCGCCCAGGTATGGTAGGGACGAGTGTTCACATCTGGTTAGCCTGCGTTTTCTCAGCCCTCTTCTCAAGGCGGTCTGCTTCGGGCTGAACCGGTCCAACACACCCACTGCCGACTGACCGGCCGGCTCAAATTCATGCCTTCCTTTAGGGGGAGCCTCCGATTGGCGGATAGAACCAGACAGCAGAAGCTTTGTGCATGTGCAATTCATTATCGTTATGGATACTGAGGAGTAAACATCTCCTTTGACTGAAGCCATCTTTGTCTGAGGAGCACACACACTCACACGCCGTTGCCAGGCTTGAGCTGCCTTGGGGGAGGACAGACACAGCAGTCTGGATACAATATCAGAGTCAGTCTCCAAAAACCTTTGTTTAATTTAAAGGAGACACTACGGACTTTTCCGTGCGTCTTTTGCCTCGTCCATGTCCATGTGAGTTTTCCACATTCCTGAGAAGTGTGTGAACAAACCCTACTGGTGCGGGACCCAGACCCAACGCTAACCACCCTGGATCGGACCGGGACAATGTGAAAGCTGCATTTTATAGCCCCTTTGACTTGCATTAATTTTTTGTCATTTCCGGGGACCCATGGTCCACAAGTAGATGGGTGTGATTAGGCTGTGTATACAGGTGCTGGCCAGTAAATTAGAATATCATCAAAAGGTTGAAAATATTTCAGTAATTCCATTCAAAACGTGAAACTTGTACATTATATTCATGCAATGCACACAGACCAATGTATTTCCAATGTTTATTACGTTTAATTTTGATATTTATAGGTGACAACCAATGAAAACATCAAATCTGGTATCTCAGAAAATTAGAATATTCTAAAGGCCAATGAAAAAATGTTTGTTTCTCTAATGTTGGCCAACTGAAAAGAATGAACATGAAAAGAATGTGCATGTATAGCACTCAATACTTAGTCGGGGCTCCTTTTGCCTCAATAACTGCAGTAATGCGGCGTGGCATGGACTCGATCAGTCTGTGGCACTGCTCAGGTGTTATGAGAGCCCAGGTTGCTCTGATAGTCGTCTTCAGCTCCTCTGCATTGTTGGGTCTAGCGTATTGCATCCTCCGCTTCACAATACCCCATAGATTTTCTATGGGGTTAAGGTCAGGCGAGTTTGCTGGCCAATCAAGGACAGGGATACCATGGTCCTTGAACCAGGTGCTGGTGGTTTTGGCACTGTGTGCAGGTGCCAAGTCCTGTTGAAAGGTGAAGTCTGCATCCCCATAAAGTTGGTCAGCAGCAGGAAGCATGAAGTGCTCTAAAACTTCCTGGTAGACGGCTGCATTGACCCTGGACCTCAGGAAACAGAGTGGGCCAACACCGGCAGATGACATGGCACCCCACACCATCACTGACGGTGGAAACTTTACACTGGACCTCATGCAACGTGGATTCTGTGCTTCTCCGCTCTTCCTCCAGACTCTGGGTCCTTGATTTCCAAAGGAAATGCAGAACTTGCTTTCATCAGAAAACATAACTTTGGACCACTCAGCATCAGTCCAGTCCTTTTTGTCCTTGGCCCAGGCGAGACGCTTCTTGCGCTGTTTCTTGTTCAAGAGTGGCTTGACACACGGAATGCGACACCTGAATCCCATGTCTTTCATGAGTCTCCTCGTGGTGGTTCTTGAAGCGCTGACTCCAGCTGCAGTCCACTCTTTGTGGATCTCCCCCACATTTTTGAATGGGTTTGTCGTCACAATTCTCTGCAGGGTGCGGTTATCCCTAGAGCTTGTACACTTTTTTCTACCACATTTTTTCCGTCCCTTCGCCTGTCTGTTAATGTGCTTGGACACAGAGCTCTGCGAACAGCCAGCTTCTTTAGCAATCACCTTTTGTGTCTTGCCCTCCTTGTGCAAGGTGTCAATGATTGTCTTTTGGACAGCTGTTAAGTCAGAAGTCTTCCCCATGATTGTGGTGCCTTCAAAACAAGACTGAGGGACCTTTTAAAGGCCTTTGCAGGTGTTTTGAGTAAATCAGCTGATTAGAGTGGCAGCAGGTGTCTTCTATATTCAGCCTTTTCAGAATATTCTAATTTTTTGAGATACCAGATTTGGAGTTTTCATTAGTTGTCACTTATGAATATCAAATTTAAATGTAATGAACATTGGAAATACATTGGTCTGTGTGCATTGCATGAATATAATGTACAAGTTTCACGTTTTGAATGGAATTACTGAAATATTTTCAACCTTTTGATGATATTCTAATTTACTGGCCAGCACCTGTATAAAGAAAACACTCATGTTAAACTGCTAATCAGACTTCAGTTGTATGTATTTGGTTCTAAACTGAACAAAGTAAAAGTGAATAATTCAGATTTGGAACATGACGCTGGTCACCCTGAGCTTGCCTCTGGCTCTGGATGAAGGCAGTTCTTTCCTCTGGCCCAATGATGACTTGATGCTACACTAGCAGCTGCTTTCTAGTGCTGGTTTAGACCTGAGACCTGTTGGATTGAAAAAACCCAACTCACAAATCACCCACCCAGCCCACCTTCTCTTGTCCTGAGGGCTGATGGCCTTTGTTGTGATATGATTTAGTCACAAGCGACTGGTCTGGATATTCGATTCTCAGCTGCTTTGTGAGTGCTTGAAACCTGAGGCCACTTCCTAATATAGTTATTTTTAAATTTATAGAGTACTTTATTTATTTTTATTATTATTTTTTTTACTTTTCCTCAGACGGTCCATCATCTCTGTGTCTAATGTTGGAGATGTGAGTGGACAGCAGAATTATTTCTGCTTTGTGTGCTAGCTCCTTACAAACACTTGCCTTTGTTTACACAAACCAGATCGTTTGGTTGGCAGGAAGTCCTCACCGGTGTTTTTGTGCTTATTTATTAATTTTCACATCCATAAACTGTTTACAATAACAAACCCCAGATAGATGAATTCATGTGTCTGGCTTTACAGTGCTTCTCTGGGACCTTGGTCATGCTGAAGTTTTGTTATGTTTTCTGTGGATTACATAAAAAAAAAAACACCTCATTACTTCTGTTTGTTGTACTTAACAAAATAAGTTATTCCTCAGTTTTCCCTCTGAACTGTAGACCAGTGAAATCCTCCTGTAGGTCATACAGAGAAGAGAAAAGAGCCAACGTGGGACGACAGTCCCGGAAACCCCTGTTTCAGCAGAGGATGACTTATTTGAGATGAGGGAAGTGGATACTGCTACCCTCTTAAAAACTATAAATAATCTAAACAGCGAATTCCGGAACTGCGCTGCTCTGGGCGGCTGCATGTTGGAGTAGCTCTGTTGACTATATGTAAGTTTTGCCTTTTCTTGGACATTTTTTCTTCTAGTTTCTCAAGAAAAACAGTATTTTTGGACATTTAACTTTTCTGTTTCTGGTGCTGTGAAGCTTGGAGGATTTTTACTGCTATTTTTTCACTTTTTGATCATTTGTTATGATGCGTAACCATGTCAACAAGCTGGTTTACAATCGGGAGTAGCTCATTAACATTGGAGAGGCTGAAATAATACCTCAACTGAAGCCAAAAATCCCAAATGAGCTAAAATGCAAGAAGCGTGGGTGCAGAATGGGAGCAAAACGGAGACAGAGAAAGAGGAAATTCAAACCATCTCTTCCATCGATCATAATGGGCAATGTGAGATCACTGACCAGCAAGATGGAGGAACTCCAAGCCCTTTCACGGACTCGGCCAGAGTTTCGGCAGTGCAGTGTTATGTGTTTCACTGAGACGTGGCTGCAGGACCATATCCCAGATTCCAGCATCTCTCTGCCAGGATTCCTGACTGTACGAGCAAACAGAGATCTGAAGAGGAGCGGGAAAAGAAAAAGAGGTGGAGTGGCAGTGTTTGTCAACAACAGATGGTGCCATCCAGGTCATGTTTCAGTGAAATGTCGTCTCTGCAGCCCAGATATTGAACTCTTGGTAGTAAGTTGTTGCCCATATTATTTGCCAAGAGAGTTCACCAGTGTTGTCTTGGCAACCGTTTATATTCCACCTTCAGCCATTGCTGAAAATGCATGTGATGCCATCAGTTCCATTGTCGCTAAGCTACAAACCCAACA